AGGCCAGGCAATTAGTCAGCAGATCATTAATTTTTTTGGCTCCTAAACTGCAGGAGGGAGCTGAAATCAAAGTAGCCATAACCAGAAACAAGAGCCAGTTAGTCTCTTGGTGTCAATAAAATAGCTTAAAGGGCAGGCATCTGCTCAAGAGAGCATCTTAAAAAGTGAGGAGAGGAATTGTTTAGATATATTCTGGAAGCAATGGGGAGAGAGAGAGAGAACCATTGGAAAGGAAATTGCTTTGCCTTAAGTTCTCTCTCAAGGTTTTTTTTAGAAGGGAAATAGTCTTGCACAGTGGACTGCCTTCTCAATCTTCTCCATGTCAGGATCTTTAACTAAGTCAGATGAAGAACCTGACTTAGTTAACGTTTTATTCCAGTCTGAGGCCTCTGCTGGAGTTCAAGAGGACTCATTTCCTCAACAGTCCAATACAAATGTAGAAGATTTTTCTGACTTTCCAATTAGCTATATTTATTCTTCTTCCACAATTGTAAATGTAACCTTTTGTTCTTTTAAACATTGTGGATAAACTTATAAAGCCTTAGTGGGTGGCCGTTTATCAACTGTAGGTATATTAGATTTTAAAAATGGAAGTCATCTGGTTGATGTTGAAATTTGCATTTATCCAAGCGGGAACATTTTGTTTCTAGAGATAAACCTTAACATCTTTTCTGCCACTTGATTTCTTTGTTAGGTTTTCCTTCTGTAAAGGATTTGAGATAATACAGTTTCAGTGAGGTGCACTGATTCTCATCTTGTGACCATGCTTGCTGACAGACATCTCCAGAGGATACAAACGTTTGGCGTACTCTGACTATCTGAGTAAGACCAAATTGTGTTTCTATGGCACAGGACGAGAAAAGCTGGTGAGAGCAGGCACTCATGACACGTTTAAAAGCTTAAAGCTAATTAAGAAGGCTTAGGATCTGTTTTGATGGCATTAAAAATTATATCCAGGAAAATCCTCACTCTGTGTCTCTTGGAAAACATGAACTTTACATTACTTAAGCAGGTTAGTGCCTGATGAAAGGCTTAACAGCACACAAGGAGCTTATTTCAGGGTGGGAGGGGGGCATTGGAAAGACATGGGAAGGCTCTGTGGAAAACAGATCAATATGGAAGTACCGTATATTCTTAGATAAGTGGAGCTCACTGGAGTAAAAAAAAATCTTGTAAGACTACTACATTCCTACTGTCTCAAGAGTTTGGATGAGTTTGCTGAACTGAGCATTACGGCTGGCTTGCCCCCTTGACGGAGAGGCACCCTAGCAATGTGACATCATTATTGCATTGCACTGCTCTGAAGACCTTCTAGGAAGTGTAAGGAGCGTGTTGAGGGACTGGACATATGGGGCACAACTGCTTTCTTTAAAAGGTTAATAACAACACTCAGAAAGACTGTACACCTTGAAGATAAGAGGCATTCCCACCTCTTCCCTCTCAGAGAGGGGCCAACTCCCATCTCCATCCATTCACTTGCTTAAGGCCCGTTTGGGGCTATACCTGCAGCCAGTTCTTCATCTCTAATGTTGCCACAGGTCCAACCATGTTCCTCCATACAACACCTGTAGGAGAGTAGCTGGCGTGGCTGCATGGGAGAACGCATACCAGGTCAGTTTGAAAGCCTCCTGTCTCCGCTGGATTATAAAACCAGAAGTGAACCTGGATAGGTGGGAGGGAATTGCCTCAGGTATGTTTGGGTGGGGTGGAGGGAGGCCGAAGTGGCAGGAGCAGGAGGGATGAAAGCACCCTTTGGTTCTGCCAGACCTCATGTTATCATGGCAATATGTGGTGGGTGTTAGGGGGTGCATTTGCTTAGATGACATGCATCATCCCTGAACAACTCCCATCATCCCTGAACAATGGTCCTGCTAGCTAGAGATGATGGGAATTGCAGTCCCAATTGGGACCCAAGTTTGAGAAACTCTATCATATATGTTTGAGGGGGGGCTTTAGCCTTTTCTCCACTTTGGAAAATGTGAATATATTTCACGTCTTTTGTTCTTATGCAAACTTTTGCCCCTATACACAATGGGTGGTATTGAGCTACATTTTTCTCACAGTTGACGCATTAAAATGATTGGCTGTAACTTAAGTCATATTCATTAATTTCAACGGGCTCTTGCGTAAAACGGAATACCACCCAATATGTCTGAGGAAAGAAACTATTGGCTTAACTATGGGTCATTGAAAAGAACATCACTACAAAAGCTGAGTGGGCTAAAAAAAGATCCCCTTTGATCATCCTCTAGAGAATGACATTTTATTCCTAGAAGCATCCGTCAATGGCAAAAGTTGCATGCCTGGTAATCAGGATCCCACCCACACTGTGAAACATGAAGGGCTCAGAGGGTTGAGCATCTTGGAAGGACAAGAGTCTGGACACTGGGAGAAGCTTTAAACCATCTCAGCCTTGTCAAGAGGGGGCAACAAAAAACTCAAAGAGAGGAATTAATTTGACATGCAAAAGTAAAACCAAACATGTTCCCAGCTGTAGCTGTCTGTCCATCCCTCCTCCTCATCCAGCATTTATGGACTCTGCAGATGCCTAACCTAGGAAGATGGAACGTTGATGAGTCCTTGCTAATGCTACATGGTAATTAGTGAGGTTGAATATTTCTGTAACGCTTTCCTCCTGTAGGGAAGGGCTTGGAGTGATGAAGGTGCCGTTGGCAGATAAATTGTACCTGCCTGAGCCATCTGTCTTACAAATGATCCTGTATGTACAGCTATTATTTCAGTCAGACACCGACAGCTCCACAATTGTTCACAGCCTCAGTGAAGAATGGTAGCTGTCAAGAGGGTTGAGAGTGCTGCGGCTTTTAACAGACCTGTTTGCAGCTCGTCTCAGAGGCTGAGGGATGGCATGTGGGAAACAAATCAGACCTGCACGCAAGGCTGCAGACGGCGTATTTATTATGTTCTGCTTTGCTATGCAACAGTGTCACAGGAAAGGTTGCTGCGTCCTTTGGAATGAAAATGTTATGGAATGCAGCAGGGGAAAGTAATTTGCCCCCTCAAGGGTTAAGATGCTCACCGTTCCCAGACCCAGATCGTGCTAGGAAAAAGAACCCGGGGATCCCAAACCATTAATCTTGTATTGGTTGATGTTCAGTGGAAATATTTGGTACTAAAATCCTGTCAAACGGGGATGTGGAACCTGTGACCCTCATGATGTTGTTGGACTCCAATTCCCTTCAGCCTCATGGCCAATGTTCAGGAATGATGGGAGTTGGATGCCAACAGTGATGGCCAGAGGCAGCTCATCCAGGCAGTAGTTGGGAGTGTTCATTTCACCAGACAGACAGACCAAATGGACCAATCATGTTCTTAGGAGGATTTCAGTGGTGACTCTGTCTTAATGAAGTGTGTTTCCACTTGCACAAATGGGAGCACCCTTTTTTTCGCTGATCCCCTCGGCCCACAAAGACCTCCCTTACCCAAAAAGCTGCTCCCAAGAGTTGTTGTTTAATTAATTAAATTTGTATACTGCCCTATACCCGGAGATCTCAGAGTTGGGGGACCCTCTGGGACATGATGCTTTTGCCGATGGAACAATAATAGGAGTGTGACATTGAATTCCTCCCTGTGTCTTTAATTCTCAAATTTAGCAGTACAATAGAAATGTGAGAATAATCGCAAGCTATTTGGGGAAGATGAAATGTAAATACTTGGGAGAAACACGATGTTTAGAAAAGGGGTACAAAAATTCAAAACATGGAGGGGGGGATATGCCACATGCTTTTTGATAAATCGCTCACCCCAGACAAAATTATTTCATATATATACCATTTTGGGAGTTCTTAAAGGCACCCCGCTAGCCAATTGGGGGTGCAGGGGGAGGTGGTAGTTGCCCTGGTGGGACGCATTGTACTGGCTCCCACTAGCTCAACCGGAGTTGCTATTCACACTTCCTTAATACACACAGGAACAAGGAAATGCTGGATAAAGTGAACAGTTACTGGACCTAATGTTAAGAGGAAGCATTTTTCATGCACAATTAGCTTGTACAATTCATTGTCACGAATGCAAGAGCTAAAGATAGAAGAGCCCTAAAAGCTCAGTTATGTTCGTAAGAACAGACCCATGAAAACTGCAGGAATAGTGCAAAATATCTTCTGGTTGACAGAAACTGGAAATACATTTGCTTTGCATAGGGCCCAGCTTTGTAGATTTCACATGTGATGGGCAGGTGTGTAGTACCTTTGGCTCTCCTTGTGTTGCTGAACTACAATTCCTGTCATCTTTGTAGATTCAGGTAGGTAGGCCTGACACAGTCGAAATAAATAAAAAAATTGCCCCCGAAAGCTTAGACCCAGAACAAACTTAGTTGGTCTCTAAGGTGCTACTGGACAATTTTTTAATCCTGTCATCTTTGGTTATTGGCCACACTTGCTGGCGCTAATGGGAGCTGTAGTTAAGCAATATCTGGAAGGCCAAAGCTCCTCCACACCTGGACTAAAGGAGAAAACATTGGTTTTCAAAGAGAACCACAAGCCAATGCCTGTATAAGCCATACTGAGTACAGTGGTACCTCGGGTTAAGAACTTAATTCATTCTGGTGGTCCGTTCTTAACCTGAAACTATTCTTAATCTGAGGTACCACTTTAGCTAATGGGGCCTCCTGCTGCCACCGCGTGATTTCTGTTCTCATCCTGAAGCAAAGTGTGTCAAATTTATGACTGCTGATGCACTATTTCTGGGTTAGCGGAGTCTGTAACCTTGACTGTAACTCGAGGAACCACTGTATGTGCCACATGTCTAAAGGGTATTCTTAGCCCACTATGAAACAAGGGATTAACTAAATCCACCCACTAAAAAGTTGGCAACTTTGTTTCTGTGATATACTGCAAGTGAGGTAAAATCATTTCTGGGGGCAAGAACTGGAATGGCCTCCATTTTGTGTTCCTCAGAAAGCCCTCTTCCGAGGCACTTCTTGGATTTGTGGGTGGGGACTGGCTGCCACCATAAAAATTGACTGCCTTCTTTTTCACCATTACAGCTGACAGCAGTTGGATGTCTACAAAGAAACACATACTTCTAGACAATGGCTGGATCGATCCTTCAGTAACTGCCATTATTTGACAGATGCAGTGTTCAATGTACACAATACTCCTCACCAACAGAAGGTGGTGACTGAAACAGCCTTGCTTAAAATTGCTTAAAATAAGGTTAGTGGGTTGCATGCAATGCTATTTTTAATCCCGTACTACTAGGAGACACATTTTTTAACATAATGGATTTTTTGAAGTACAATAATGTCTTCTAAAAAATCCCAAAGGTGCCCCATGTTTTTTTTTTGGGGGGGGGGAGGCAAGGGTAGGAATCATGAGATTAACACTGATGTTCTATGTGTGTCAAATTTAGGACTGCTGATGTAAATTTGAATTGGGTCAAATATTTGCACCAGCTCTAGGCTGGAACAGCAATCTTCCTCCCTCCAGTTCACTTCAACCAACATGCTAAGCAGGACTGAAGATGCACAGGGGGGCACACTGCTTTGTAAAACCATGCTGGGAAGCAGCTGTTAGGATTGCACCCTTAGCAAGCTAACTTTAGCACCTATTTTATACATGGACACAACCGTCCTGGGTCTAGTGTTACTGTTCTTATGCTTCTCTTTTCTAGTTAGAACTGTTTTTCTGACTAGAACCCAAATCATCTCTCCGGACAAGGCAACAATAGCAAGAAAAATGCTCAGCATAGTGCACCATAGATCACCACCTTAGGGAAAAAGAAGACCAAGCACAGGAGAGTTAGTTTCCTGGCACACTCAGCTCTGTACGTTCCTCAGAGCAGCTTGAGGGGCTCTTTCTGCAATCCAATTAAAAGCAGCTCACATCTAGACGGTGAAGAAACACGTACAGCACACACACCTGATAGATATTTATAAGACACAACAGTATTCAATTAGTTCAGGATCAGTTTCATTGGTCCCCTTCCATCTTGCCATATGGCCCACGATCAATAGGTGTCTGAATTAGCAAGCAAGATCACAAAGCAGCCAATGATATGGTTGGGAGTCAGCAAAAAGCAAGCTTGCTCTGTGTATCTCTAGAGACCACAAAAGCACAGCAATATTGAATAGTCTCTGCCTCTCTCCCCATTGAGTTTCTATCATGGAAGTTTGCAGCAATGCTAAAAATAGAGTGTTTCTGTGCGTGGAGCTGTTCCCCTCGATACATATATTTCAGTCTAATAAAAAGTGCCGGCCGTTTCATTGCTCCTTTCCCTCAGAATGAGATACTCCGATAACAGCCATTAAAATCAACCCTTGCAAATGAGCAGGTACAGGGGGTTCTTTTAAATGCAGCCTCCATTCTAGCAGGTGGCCAGAACCACTCTGAACCAAGTGATTACCTGTGAATAGAAGAGGTAATGCTGACAACTGCTCGCTGCAGGCAGTTATTCAAAAAGGAGAAACAGAAGGGAATGGAATGGAAATGCAGCACATTTAAAGTGCTTCGTAATAAATACCTTAGGAGACCCGCTGCTGGCCTATTCTCCAAAAAGCCTTCCTTTGAGCTTTTGGGATGGGCTTGGTCACAATGAATGCTAATGGGCAATCAGTGAAGCCCATCCTCCTTCACACTGCATGGTGAAAGGTGGCCTTGAAGCTGCTTTTCCAGGTCTGCAAGGCACAAGGGCAAGAAAGCCTGGGAAGTTTGTACGAAGCCAGTGGGAGAGTTATGAGCTGCAATGTAGATGCTGCTGTAGAACTTACGTTCCTATGAATCTAGCACTACCTGCCTGCTCAAGTCTGCTTACCTGTGCACCTACATAAGAACCTGCTTGATTGGGCCAATGGCCCATCCAGTCCAGCATGCTGTTCTCACAGCAGCCAACTGGGTGCCTGTGGGAAGCCTGGAAGCAGCGCCCAAATCTTCTCCACCTCCAGAAGTTTCCCACCACTGTGGCTATTTCCAGCAATTCCTCCCCTGGCCCTAGCTCCCCATGCACCTAAAATCTGTTCAAGAGGGTCCCCCAATTCTCTAGAGATTTTGAGAAGCGGTAGGGTGGAGGATGTGGGAGAGGAATAGCCAAAAACTGCTCCCACTTCTCCATTCAGCTGATGGCTGCTTTCCGGCAGACAAACATCAGCTGGATTCTACCATCTATTCCTAGGCATACAGCAAAAGCCAGCATTTTCACAATACTTTTGTAATAGCTGGGACGTCCCAAAATATAAAAGCAAAAAGTCATCATTCATATACTTATTAAAACTTTTATTATGAAAACAAAATTGTCATTTTACAGTTATGTGAATCACACACAGAACAATACATACAATGAATTCTATTTTGCCAGATTATAGTTTTGTACAAGGCCAACATCTCATTCCAAGGGCCTAGACATTCCTATTCCCTGACGAAGAGAGAAGTAGCTATTTATTGAAGGGACAAACTGCAACTTGCATTCACAACATTCAGCAATGTAGTTGAGCACCGTAACCGTTTAGAGCCATGGTGCTTTTTATTCTTCAAGAGGATGGATCGGTCCAGTAGCACTTTGTAATGTGCATGTAGCACATTGGTAAATATACCTTTTAGTAATGTGAATATTTACAGTACAGGTGTGACAAGAAGCCAAAACAATTCTGAATGATGTGATGCAAAAGATGACGGTCTTCAGCGATCAGCTTCTGCACACATTTCAGGCCACAAAACAAGTGTCACATTCTTTGCAGGCAATCTTATCTGTCTGGAATACATATGAAAATCAGTGGCCAACTTTGTGTAAATCATTTAGTTAAGGCATATATACAACAAGTATGAGCCATGAAATCTTTATTTTGAATGGCTGATTCCTTATGGATCTCTAGTATGCAATATTTTATTAGGCACTTCTGCCAGCAACAAAAGAAGGAAATAAGGGGTGGGGGGAACATGGCTAAGTGTTCCAGTAACCACCATAAAGTAGTTGTGTAAAGAAGCCCTTGCTGGTGTGGCCGAGGGGTGGAGGGAGGCGCCGCTGAGCTCCCAGTTCAAAATGTGCTTCCCACAGAGCTCTTTAGACTTGGGGCACCTTGAGACAGTCACTATTTTGGGGTGATAGTTGTCCACATACCAGCAAATTCCAGTTGCGCAATTAAAGTTGATTTAGAGATATTGCACATCAAACACGCTTCCCAAAAGATAATTTTCTTCTTCTTTTTAGCAAAAAGGAAAGTGAAAGGAAAAAGTAGCAGAAAGTGTGGGATGCTACATCATCTAGCCTCCTTATAAACAAAAGCGAATGCTCAGTAAAACAGCTAACCACGTCTAATCTGCCTGCAAACAAATCAGGATGAATGCTCAAAATGCAGGTCTACTGGAAGCGCCCTTAAGTGTCTTCTAAAAGGATTAAGAGCAAAAGAGGAGGTATGGAATAATAACAAAAATCCTTCTACAAGGTTAAATTTACACTCATGCCTTCTCTCACCAAATAATCTGGAAGAACAGCATATTTTATTGAATGACAAAAACCAGGATTAGAAAAGAACCCATTTATTGTAGAATGGTGTGGTGTTTTCCCCCCCTATATCCCTAGAAAGAATATCATATCAACAAGAATTTACAATTTTGGCATGTTAAAGCACAACAAACTTAAGATCACTTATTTTAGTGAGCAAGTTCTGTTAACATTTTCACATTAATGCACATTTTGCTAGCCACAAAAATAGGCTGTTAAGACTGATCTCACTGATATAACAGTTTGAAGTCCAGTAACATATGATTTTTATTGTTCGCAGAACTTTTAAAAAGTTGATAAAGAAACTATGGTTCTTGTTACTTTTTACAAATACATTCTTGAATATGAAACATTAACCTGAATTACGGTATACTTTGTGTACTCAAATATCTAATACTAGAATCGTATACTACCACTATTCTCAGGAGGACGTTTTTAACACTATAATGTTTATTACCTTCAGTACTAGATGTAAGCACATTTGCTTCTAATTATCCTTAAAAAAAAAAAGCCACCATGAAATTTAAATTTACTCAATAGCAGAAATACAAATTAAGATCTAATTTTTGATACATCAAAGTGATAAAATCACCAGGGGTTGCTTGGCAGTTTGAAAACAAGCCCTAATTTGACAAGAAGCGAAAATTATCATTGATCTGAAATGCAAAAAATGTGCAAAATAAATATAACATACAGAATAATGGTTCACAGTACAAGCAATGGAAAATCTGGAATTTAGCAGTATTCCTCTGTTCAGATATGGCCAGCTGCAAATAGTATCCTCATTCACACTGTGTTACCTAACACTTCATTCATGTTCATTGTAAATTCATCTAATCTCCAACTGAAGTCCTTTTCAGCTATGGTCACATTGGTGCTGGCTTTGCATGATGATGCAGTTTAGAGAGCTGGAACTGCCAATGAATGATGTGACTACTTGTCCAGGGTACTTGGTGTTGTGTGGGAAAGATCGCATGGGAAAGATCCCTACATAGCTGCACTATTCACGCATAGCCCATTGCATGGGGCAGCATTACAGAAAGTGGTACCCACATTGCTGTGTGTGAAGGGGTACCACAAAATTGCTTTGGAAAATGTTGTATACTTTAGTCTAATTCCAAAGGGCAAAGTTCTGCTGGATATTTCGCTGGCCCATTTAATTCCTGAGCAGTAGGTGCGTCAGATGGAGCCAATGGTTCAAAATGCACTGTTCAGTGAAGGCATTACATTTAACCACCTTATTTTGATTTGGAACATGTCTAACTGGCAGGCCTGTGCTGTTGTAACTCGTAAGGGGTGCGGGGTCCACAAAGCCACTTTTCTCTTACAATTTCAAACAAATCTAATGGGCAGTTAAGTCTATTTAAATGGATGTTCTCTCTGTGTTGATTTAAAGGTTCATCTGCATTAAAAGCTGCTTGTTTTGTTTTGCTGGTGTCTGTGCAAACAAAAATAAAAATGCAGAAATTTCACTCTCCAATATCTACAAACCGTTTTTCTCATCTCTTGGGCTGCCTTACTTGAAAACCATTAGGTGTGTTCCAATCAGCATCAATAATGCGATAGCAGTGAAATAACATGAAATTCTGCTCACATATCACTTTGGATCGAAAAATTCAAAGCAGGGAGGAAAATCAGAGAAGAAAATGCAAAATATATCAGAAATCCTGAAACATTTGCTGTAACTTATGGGGGGGGGGTAGACCCTCACATTTTCTGCGCACTTATCTTCCTATGCCTAGCAAATATTCAGTGCTATCAGAGGAAAGGGTGTGGTTGGATCCACACAACTCAATCATCTCTTGAAGGGAAGTTAGGTAAGAATGGTCTGGTGCTGATGCTGACAAAGCAGACAGAACTGACTTCATGTGCAACGGATATGCTTATAGATCAAGTGTTGCAAGCTAACTGAATAACTGCGACCCCTAAGTACTGGATGCTGAGCTCCAGTGCCAAGAACTCCATGCATAGCTCCAGTTCCCAAACTCAAACAAGAGGCTTTTGTGCATGTTGTTAGATGAAACGGCAAAAGCTTCAAAACCCACGGAATTTGTGTGTGTGCAAGTGAGTATTCCACAAATGCAAGGTTAATTTTAGTTACTCTAAAATTATAAGTCTCCTTGGGAACCACTCAGTGCAAGGGCAGTTCAACCTTAGCTCCTCCTAGCCAAGGATGGCGAGGCTGCAGTGTTGGGAATAAATGTACCAAAGTTACTCAAAGCACTAAAATTGAAGCATGCTCAACATTAAGCAGAACTGCAGCTTCAGCAAGTGTAGTAAGTGTTCGTGGACACATTAAAATGCTGGAATGATTCCTGTATAATGTGGATCTGGAATGTTCTCTCTTCTAAAAATCTCATTTACAAAGGGAAAATTCTATTTTATAATTTGACTGCTAAATTCCAGACTAAATGCAGAGACATTTAGAAATTTAATCATCAGAGTTTCCTTAGCCTTAACATCTCAAGTGTGAATTCTCGGTTGTACTATGCAGTCCAAAGAATAAATCAGAAGAGTAAAAAAGAAGCTATTTTGAAAATGTAGTGTTGACCACAAGTTGACCTCTCGAATCCAGATTTGCACTGTGGTGCTGGTGATGGCACATGCAAAATATGAGTATTAATACTGGCATAAATGAGAAGGCTGCTTTTTCATAGCAAATAATTCATTTCGTTTTGCTCAGTGATCGAAGGCATAAACTATGTAGCTCTAAAAATTGTTCAAAGAGATAATTGTAAACCAAATTCCTTGGATTTTATTTTCATTTGGTAATCTTCCCGTAGGCAGTTTTATTTCTTCTTTCTTAATACTGGGAAAAGTGTGATGTTGAAGATCAATGCAGTTCAGTATGTCCTTTGGTCCAATTTCCATGTTAACACCATCTCTTATTTTAAATAATAAAAATATATATGGTAAAAGTGCAGAATGGCTTAGCAATACAAAAAGATAGGAATACAACTTATTTCCTACATAGTAACTGGAATAACTGGGCTTCAATGAACTGTAGAAAAAAGCAGACATGTGGTTGTATCTCCAGTAAAAAAATGATGAATCTAGCTTTTCAGTTCCTCTTGGAAAGATCTTTACAGTAGGCATTCTCAGCACTTGTGCTTCATGGCAAGCTGGAGGGAAAATGTGTGAGAGAGTGAGAGATGCATTAAGACTTATTTACAATTATGGCTGGGCATTTATGAACAAGGCTTAGTTCCTGTGCTGCAGACAAAATGGAAGCATGTATATATTGGGTGCAAATCCCAATAAAACTTTCTCCTGTTGAGTTTATATTGCTTGCTACATTCACTGACCATATAATCAATACAGAAGGAAGATACTTAGTTGTTTTCACTCATTTCAAGGATGAAGATGCTGAAATCCAACCAAGATAAAAATAAATACCTTAAAATTACTTTATTTAGACTAAATTACAAATATCACATGCAATGTTAATGAGATTATCTAACTTCTAAAGAAAGCTCTGAAAGGAAATATAAGCATATTAAACCCCTCCTCCTCATTGCAAATACAGAACTAACAGTAGCTTGAGTGATCCCTCCAAAGCAGAATCAAACCACGGTTTACAATCTTAGTTTGGAGGGATAGCTCAAACCACTGTTCAGGGGACCTGATGTCACAACAAAGTGCGGCTTGATTTATACAAAAATGTAAGGAACTAAGACCCATCTACAAGGGAGGTGGAAACACACAGAGACTCTTGATTATGATCCTCTATATAGAGCATATAGTTTGCATAAGCTGGGGGGGGTGTTCTTAAATATGAACACCTTAAGTTGACAAAAAAATAACAATAAAAATCAGCCAAAACCCTCCCCCAATGAAAAGCCCTAACCAGTACCCCAGCCCAAGAATCTGTTCAGCAGCCTCACCTTTTGTAGCTGGAGTCGGTTGGGACTAAATCAGATTAAAATCACCTTAACTTTCAAAGCATCTGGGTAGGCTTGTCTAAATAAAATGTTTTTAGCAGGTGCCAAATAGAGGTCAGTGAATTCACCTGCTTGATCTCAGTAGACAGGGAGTTCCAAAGTGTAGGCTCTGCCACACAAAAGTTCTTACAAGTTCAAGTTCTTACAAATTAGGTACAGGTCTTATATGACACCTGTAATAGTGCCAATTCCACCGATTGAAGCGGTCGAATGGATGCATGTCAGGTAAGGCTGGTCCCAAGTTGTTAAGGGCTTTATATGCTGATAGCAATACCTTGAACTTGGCCCAGTAGCAAACCTCTTGAGTGCAGTACAGACCTCTTGAGTTATCCTTATGAATACTGAACAAACCTGTGTCATAGGAAGCTAACACAGCACCAGCCCATCTAGTTTATTGTTGGCAACATTGACTGGCAACAAATCTCTAGGGTTTCAATAAATGATTCCCCGCCCCAATACTCAAGACATTTTAAAGTAGGTAACAAGAACACAGCTGCATCTTTCAATATCAGCTCTCATATTGGCACTTATATCTGGTTATTTTGGGATACACACAGAAAAGCCTTTTCATGTGATGTGCTAGCAAGCATCTCTCCCCACATCTTATCCACTTAATACAGAAATTAACTTGACATGTAGCCACTTCCTGGACACCACCTCAGCCATCTAATGACAACATTTTAATAGTGATATCAGGAGCTGACAAAATGTCACAGCATTTGTGCTACATCTTTTAAGTGAGATCCTTGACTTGATTCTGAAATGTTCCTTAAAAATGAAGATGCTGAAAGGCACACAGATATTTACTTAAACCTTCTTTCTTTCTCTTTCTTTCTTTTTACATTAATAGACGTCATCATTAGGATTTTTGCCAGTGCAGGATTATTTTACATTTCAGGCACGGCACAGATTAGTATTGGGAACAAAGCACATAAACCAGCAACTTGTATAAATAATTGACTTTGCAACAATGACTCTGTGAAGTCAACTTCAAAGAGTTTAAAAGTAAACACAAACCAGATTAATTAGTTTGTTTCACTACTTTCAAAAGTGGGAGAAAGCAACACAGGAATTCAGTATTGCTCATTAGTATTCAGTTCCGAATGTTGGAGAAAAACATAAATGCAGGATAAATAAATGAGGATTAAAGGAATAAGTTTCAAGTTTTTCCTGTAGTTTCTAGGGGTGTGATATGATGCTTGAAATATTCATATATATATATATATATATATGTTTAAAGAAAAGGAAGAAGAGTCATGTTCCAGGTTGGCTAGAGTTCTTGAAAGTTGTATCACATACACATCCTACAATTCCATATTTATTATGAAACAAAAAGGTGATGGTCAGTCCTTGTAGCATATAATAATAGAGGAGTGTGAGAGAAAGGCTGTGAATACAGGAGATAACAAGTCTTGAGAACACTATGAAGTGTGTTTAAGGGAAAGCAGAAGGCTTCGCAAAGAAGCCAATTATGTGAGGAAAGACAGAGGTTGCTAGTCTAGATCACAGGCAAGGTTAACAGATCAGGCTTGTTTGAAAAGAGATTTGCACCAAGGACGGGAGGTGCTTGGGCTGAATGGATGCGGTGCAACAGAAGTCTGGGAAGACAAGATGTTGGGGTAGTCAGGGATGGTCTATATTTGCTTCCAACTCCATTTACAGAAGCATATGTGTATGTATAGTCCAGATAGTCCTCTGCTAGTAATTGTTAGTGGAAGTTGCAGAGTTATAGCCAGACTGATAAAGATTCAAAAACCAAGACAGCCACTTTTGTTTTAATCATATTCTAAGAGAAGGCTTTCAGCCTTCACCAACATGGTGTCTGGGGGTGATGGGAGCAGTTCGAAATTAACTTAAACATAAAAACATGCATTCGCTAAATTGAAGCGAGCACCCATCTTCTACGGGTAAAAAGTAAGAGTATTTGTAGGCACAGTTAGAAATATAAGCTCCTTTTTATGATGGAAGATGTAAGGAATAGCCACAGTAATACCAAGGGCAGTACAAGACTTAAGTGTAAATGTATAATAGGGAAAATGCTACAATGCAATCCAAAGGATGATGGGGGGGCCACCAGGTGGCGCGTTGGAAGATGGCTGACATGACATCTCTCTGACCCATACGAGGTACTAAGGGGCTACTATGGGAAGTATGTAGCCTTCCTGAACTCCTCCAGGATGTGGAGGAGAACTGCCCTGCCAGCTGTGTTCACAATGCACCCCCTGAAACGAGTGATGGGGTGCCGAACACTTGGCAAAAGGCCCTCGGTGAAGTCAGACCTTCCTGGCGCCGATTCCAATTAGCGCGTGCTGGTTGCTTCAGCTGGAATTATAATTGGAAACATACGATTGGAAACGAAGCTGAAAGCACAGACATCAAGTAAAGCTCGAAGATAAGACTGCTGATTAATGGATATCTTGCGACCAGGAGTGATGGATGGATAAGTAAATCTTCTGATGAATCACCATAAGGAGACTGTATGTTTGGAATGAAGGGGGGGGTGGAGGAAAAAACTCTTTTTTTCTTTGCATGATGTGATATTAATAACCCTTCACCCCAGATAGAAACAAGATTGTTGCGTTTCTATGAAACATAGGCAGAATTTTAAGAACTATGTGGGACGGAGTACAAGGAAAAAGACTGCAGAACGGTGAGAAAGGAAGAAAATTTTTATGACGCAGTTAAAAAATGGCGTCTCGCCATGACAGGTTTACCGAGGAAGAAGGACGGGGGAGGAGAATCAGGATTGTTTGAAAGAGAAGGAATGTTGGAATGTAAGTTTGACCTGACAGAACCCCCAGACTCATTTGTTATTTGGTAAGCCTGAGAAAAATAAAGGACAGATCGGAGATTAACTTTGTTTATGGAAGCGTTTACAGAGGCTGTCCCGGATCAATATGATTTTTGGAAAAGTACAAAATCCACATAGAATGCCAGCTGTTACCCTGCTTGTGAAAATCATCAGAGATTGCAAAGAAAGGAATTTATGATAACAACAAGAAGAGAAAAGAAGTAACAAAGGACTTTCCAAATCAAACTGGAGAGAACTGTCTAATTAATGCAGTAAGATAAGTGATGCTGTTTTGGACTCGAGCCGAGCTTGATGTATGGGTACCCCCAACAAAATTTAAAATTTGGCTGTATAATTTGGAATCAATGCGATAATGTGATGTGATTGGCCTGTTAATAAAAATTATTTTTTCTAAAAAAAAAATTTTTTCCAAAGGATGTATTTTGCACTGCTGGTGGCAACATTCCTCTCCTGGTCCTGACTGTATCACAAAGCAAAATGGGAGATGGAAAATGCAAGTCCTCATATCCTTTTTGTCAGGTCTTGCTGCATAGTTTGATGCAACACTTTGCTTGCAATCTGTGGAACGTTTTTTCCCTTGTTAGATATGTGTTACTCTGCTCAGCTTTCAAACCATGCCAACAGAATATTTAACCAGTACATTCTTTAAAAGGCCAACAAAAGACCATTTTTGTGTAAGGTCAGATGGAGATACTGTGTACTATGTTCTTTATTGCCCTTCATAGGAGCAGATCCTTCTATTCATTCCAGAATTTTTTAGAAGGTCAAACAGGTGATTTCAAAATTAGATGGTTGCTGGCTGATAAAGATAAGTTTGTTATTTATGAGGTTGCTTTGTATATGCTAGCAGTGAGAAGCTTGTCAGATGAAAACTGTTGGCTGTCATGGCGATTTTTAAATCTAAAATATCTGGGGAACTTTATAATTGTATGTTTTGTTAATTTGCAGCTCTGAAAACTAGTGTTTTTTAACTTACACTTGGATTGTTTGTGTTTGTTATTTATAATAAAAAATCTCATAGAATCATAGAATCATAGAATCATAGAATCATAGAGTTGGAAGAGACCACAAGGGCCATCGAGTCCGACCCCTGCCAAGCAGGAAACACCATCAGAGCACTCCTGACATATGGTTGTCAAGCCTCTGCTTAAAGACCTCCAAAGAAGGAGACTCCACCACACTCCTTGGCAGCAAATTCCACTGTCGAACAGCTCTTACTGTCAGGAAGTTCTTCCTAATGTTTAGGTGGAATCTTCTTTCTTGTAGTTTGGATCCATTGCTCCGTGTCCGCTTCTCTGGAGCAGCAGAAAACAACCTTTCTCCCTCCTCTATGTGACATCCTTTTATATATTTGAACATGGCTATCATATCACCCCTTAACCTCCTCTTCTCCAGGCTAAACATGCCCAGCTCCCTTAGCCGTTCCTCATAAGGCATCGTTTCCAGGCATTGACTTCTCTGGGTTTATTCAGAGTATGACATGGTAACCCCACTTACCTGGGAGTAAGCCATATTGAATTAAATAGTCATGGTTAGGATTGCAGCCTTAGTTGGATATCACCCATAGGGCAGGTGCCACTACTGAGAAGACCCTACCTCAGATTTAGTTAATGCACATAGTAGAACATTAGCCTTCACACCATATTCTCGGTTTCTTCAGAATCTTCCAAGAGAGTGTAAAAACTTTTTTGTATTCCAGCAAACGTGTTTTATTGGGGTATATAACTTTTTTAACTGATATTTTTGTATTGTATCTGTTGAACCCATCTCTGTTGTATTACATCATTTTATGGAATGTTGTGCTTTATTTGATTTACTTAATTGTTGTAAAATATCCCTGCCCCACCTCAATACGCAGGCACTAGAAGTGTGGGCTGCATATTTTTCAAACAAACAAATGCCAGCGCTAACTTACCAGGTCAGAACGTCCCCCTTTGCCAGCATTTATTGAAAAGGGTTTGGTACCTTTTGATGAGATTAAACAATTGACAACAATATGTGAAAACAATGTTGCATATTAATATTAGGGGTTTCCTAGCAACCTGCTTCTCATAGAAGTTATTACCATATTAAGGATTTCTTGTCCTTTTCCTTAAGCTGTATTTTATTAATTTCATACCTTGTGTGCAGTTTCTGCAAACTGCTGAGCACTGTTCTTCATATCCTCTGTCTTTTCCTCTGCTCGACCTAACCTTTCACCACGCTCATTCAAAGCTTGACTTGCCTTCTGTACTGCACTGGTTACACTGTCTGCAGCTGAATGTAATATGCTATTTCCTAAAATAAAATAATAATAACAAATTGTTAGAAACAAAAATGGAAAACTTACGTGAGAACTGTGAATGACATGATCAAATGTATCTCAACATTTTCTAATATCAGAACTCTCTGATACAAAACAAACAAGGTTGGATCCTAGGAAGGCAGGAATTTATCTTCTATTAGGCCATTGCTCCAGTTGGCTCAATATTGCCTGCACCAGGAGACCCACACTTGTTGGGCCCATGGACACATTTGGAAATCTAACTTTGCTGTCATGGGCACCACAGAATACCCAGCTGATGATGCTCAAAATCCTCTCCAAAATGGGCAAAACACCTACACATACACCAACACAAAATAAAAGACACACATGTACACAAATGAAAGCAAACCACCACCCCAAAACAGGTAAATTGTCCCAAACCAAAACACACACTTTCTCCTTTTCTCCCTGCCCACATGACATGCTAGGAGGGTTGTCCGATGTCAGGGACTACAGGTCTACAATGACTAGCAAAGACTCTCCTGTGCTTCATCCAGCACCATTTTTTAGCTCTACCTGGAAATGCCATGGACTGAACAAGAGACTTTCTGCAATAACCACCACTGAGTTAATGCTCTTCAACCTATGAGACTCGTGAGTGGAGTTCTACTCACAAAATAGAGCTTTGCCATCTTTTCCTGGAATAAATAGAGAAATTCTATACATGTCTGGCCGAGAAGTAAGTCCAACTGAGTTGGATAGGACTTACTCCCAGATACTTGGTATAGGATTCTAGCCTAAGTCTCAAAAGGAAAAAAAGAAAAGTGTTCATGTTCCCAAATAGCTTTTTGATTTTTTTTAAAGCTGAAACAAAACTGATGAAAAATACCACTTTATGAAGCTGAGAACGGTTAATGTTCTTTTTCTTCTCAGTTTACGTCTTCTCCAACCTGATGCCCTCCAAGTTTGTTTGGACTTCAACTTCCACCAGCCTCTGCCCATTACCGTATTTTTCGCTCTATAGGACACACCTTGTTCTCCCCCTCTAAAACAAGGTGCGTTCTGTGCATTCAAGGTGCGTTCACCCAAAGCCTCCAGAGCCCAGCGGGAGTTCCCGCTGGGCTCCGGAGACTTTGGGTTCCTTTCAACCTGCTCTTTGGGGCTGGTGGGAGGAAGCTCTGCTTTCCCCCACCGCCAGCCCCAAAGACCAGGTCGGGGAGCAGCGGGAAGGTGCCGCACCGCCTTCCTGCTGCCCCCCTAGCTTGTGGGGCTGGCGGTGGGGGGAAGCGTTGCAGCCTCCCCCCCACCTTCGTACAGCCTTCGTAGCCTCCGCAGGGCAGTGGGGTGAAGGCACCCCGCTGCCCTGCGGAGGCTTTGCGCAGCTAATCCCAAGCTAGAACACCGAGAGGGAGCGCTGCGCAGCGCTCCGTCTCCCTGTTCTGGCTTTGGGCTTAGCTGCACAGTCTGCATTCACTCTATAGGACGCACACACATTTCCCCTTAATTTTTGGCGGGGAAAAGTGCATCCTATAGAGCGAAAAATACGGTATATCCCATGGTGGAGAATGATTGGGGGTTGTGGCCTAAAATGTCTGGAGGTCTGATTGTTGCATGTGTGGTTTGAATTTCTGATGCAATTTTGAATGCACCAGTGGCATAAAATATAGAATTCATACATAGGGATCAATGGCTTGATGTTCATACATTCCATACCTGTAGTGTTATAAAGTATTTGGTATTGAAAATATATTATTAAGTGTTTGCATTGCTTGTGGTCTAACAATGCAATGAATTTAGAAATTGTCCACACTTTTCTGAGAAAGGCCATGGTCTTGCAATGGAATTGATCAGCAAATCTCTATCTCTCTCTTTGTAGTTTTAAAAGAAGAATCAACTGATTTTGTCAGCAGGAAACAATCATTATTATTATTTGCCCCCATCCCACTGCTTGTGTATGATTGTCTCAGCAAGTTTGTTCTGGATGACTGTTTCATTTGTAAATCAAACGCGTTTGGTTTGATCAGGAGTTTGGAACTACTATAAAAACAAGTTTGAGAACTGGTGTCTCATTTCAAAATGAGTACAATCTGCTATTAAACCAAAAGTCCACTCATTAGCAAATCTGTTTATTGCCTTGCAACTGACTCTTGAACATTTCAGCTCACACCCTATCAATTCACTTCTAAAGAGTAGGGAGGAAGTGTCCATTTCTTTGCTCCTACAATGTCCCAGATTGGAATTCTTATGGTTGTATTGTAAATAAAGTGGGCTATCAATCATTAAATTTCTGTAGCAGAAATGGTATTTCAAAATGAAATGTAGAAAGGGATGTTTCTTAAGGACTTTGAATTTTATAAGCATTTTTGGAGTTGCAAAAAATATGGTCTTGGCAATGATTTCAGCAACCAAGAACTCCAAGTTTTTCAGTGCACAAAGCAGGAACAGCGTTCACCTGTGTAAAGACAGAATTGACCTGTCTCTTTGATTTCTGTGTTTTTAACAGCTGCATAGCAAGCAAAAATTCAAGAGACAGAGCTTTCTACCAAACAGCAAAGTGATGATGGCTGATGGTCTCTCTCCTGATTAAGCGGTTTAATCAATATTTGAAATCTTAGCTTACAGCTCTAGTAAATACCTAATTAACTGTAAGAGGGCTCACATATTCAGCTGGTCTCTAAATTCTACCCATCTTTTATCAAATGACTGCATAACATGAATGATAGAATAAGCTTCACTTAAGGAAGTATAAGCCAGAGTATAAGCCTGATAGTTTCTGGTTTTATACTTCCTAAACACAATACACTGGCAACTAAACATAACACACCACCACCACCTAATTAAAAGGGAAGGAAAGTATTACAGTTATGAGGAGATACACATGGCTCTCCTGTGACTTGTGTTGCTGGGGAGATAAGAGTTAGAGAAATTTTTAATATTTCTGGACTGAAAATGCAACTATTCAGGAAAGCAATCATAACTTGAGCTACAAAAAATAGGATTAAATGCTGCAGCTCTTGTTGTACTATTATTATGAATGGAAGTAGAGATGCCATATGTTCCCCCATATAAATAGTACAAGTAGGTCAAATAAGCGTTTGTTCTAGCTATAGGGGCTTAAATTATTTTCAATAGTCTTGCATAGCTCAAATCACAAAATTAAGACATTGCTGTTACTCTGCTAATGGCTTAAGGCAGATGAGCAATCACATTTTAGGAAAAATGGTGTCAAATTCATAGGCAGTGTAGCATGTACTGATATGACATAGCTTACTTTGATGTAATGAAGTTTCGATCCAGCACAGATGATCAGGACAGATAGAGATATTTACATATAATCTAATTCAAATTTAGTCCTGAAAAACATGGTGTTAGATTAAGAATGTACATTATATTGCTATGCATTTGGTAAAGCAGAAGGGATGGAAAGAGACCTACAGAGTTGTACAAATCAGTCTTCTGTGCTGTGGTTATACTTAAGGATGGGCCAAACTGTAACTTCAAACCATAGTTCTTAACTAAGAAACAGATAAGTAGTTTTTTAAACAAAGATAAGCACTATAGATAAGAAAAAGCTGATCTGCATGAATCTACACAAGCATAATTAAAACTTCCTGTATTTGGCAAAGTCATTTTAATGTTTATGCATCATCAGATGTAACAGTCTATCACAGTAGGTTATTTGCTTTATAATGCAAATTGGATTAATCATTTCCTTGTGTACATATTTTTAAGTTCTTATACATGAATTTAAAACTCTCACATTCTACTAGTACTAGGATATTATGAAACCTTCTGTTTTGTTTAATAAACAGCAACGATGACCATCTTCACACATTACAATAAGCTACAGCTTATAAGCCGTGGTTTATTTAACTAAAGTTAAAGTTGATCATCTAACATTAAGCCACGGTTTATAAACTTTTCTTAACGTTAACCATAGCTTAGTATTATGTGTGAACTTGGACTTGGACCTCTCTCCTTAACTATGGTTAAGGATCTGTCACTGCTCCAAAGCTACTAGTGTAGAACAGGTTAAAATTCAACAGTGGAGGAGAAAGAAACCGTTCTGTGATAAACAAACCATGGTTTGAGTGACTGTATGTGAGATACCTTGGTTTTAATGATGGTTTATTAACTATAACTTAGCATTAACTATTGCTTAATGTTACATGTAAACAAGAACAATAAGGCACACAATCCATCAAGAGAATAGTTAAGCTCAGAAAGAGATATAAGACTTGGTGAAACAAGTGTACACTCTTCTGAAATGTGTTTTTTAATGAAAATAAAGTGCTTGTTATATGCTATGGGCTCTTTTGCACATAGGGTAAGCCTTAGCAGCTTAATATTATAAAGGTGAAAGCGGCAACCCAGTGTACAGTTAGGCTGATTGATTCCCATTGACTTAAGAGGGATAAGCTCTTTTGCACATATAGCTGTGTACAGGAGAGCAGCCAATGAGACATACATGAACTGAGAGATAAATGGTAACTGAACTAAGTGGAACGGGGGAATTGTATGGCGTATTACATGAAATGTGAAATTAGCTTGATAGAAACAAACCATACACTGCTTTTTAGATATTTGTTGTTGTTTAGTCGTTTAGTCGTGTCCAACTCTTTGTGACCCCATGGACCAGAGCACGCCAGGCACTTGTCTTCCAGTGCCTCCCGCAGTTTGGTCAAACTCATGCTGGTTACAATTAACTGAACTTAAATGATTGATATAGATTCTATTTTCATCCTAGTTATTCATTTATATATCTGGTAACATGCATCGAACAGTTGCTAACAGTTGGATAATGTCCTTAACAGACAGAACTGTGGGTACAGACTGAAAGGAGAAACATGAAAGTGTGTCATTAAATCTTAACTTATTTAATCAATGCGCCAAGTGTGTTTATGGTTTTTAAAGAAAAGTTTTTCGTTATTTACCCAATGCTGATTTTACCACATGCCTGTGCCTTGTGTGTAGATCATATAAGACTAAGCTATCCTGAGGTAGTTTGGTTATCCCTAGGCTCCTATACACCATTCCACAAAATCACATCTGTTAATATGGCAGGTGTAGAAATTAGAACTGTTGACCAACTCATGGTGATAAAACCAAACAGACTTAATCTATGTATACTGAAATGCATTATCTGGCAAGATAGGAAGGGCTAAGGTCCAACTAACAGCCAAGGTATATCCAGAAAAATGCCAAGCCATGTACCCACACTATGCAACCCCCATGCAAAATGGTCACTGCATGTATTAATTTTGTTAAATAAAGGTTACATAAATTTTATTAAATAAGTAAGCAAATAAATTATGCATTTATAGGGACATATAATATGGCCTAATATGCAGCCCTATTATTTGATTAGTGATGCTCAAGTAGAGCCATTTAAGCACACACTGGCTGTATTCCTAATTCATTCTCCCTCCATAATGTGGAATCAACTGACAGGTCTTCCACAGTGCCGCCATTCTCTCATTAATTCTGCACTAGGTATCAAATAGCCCAAGCCAAGTAGTACAAACAAGAAAGGCTACAGGGAGGTTTCTCTTTTTCTCCACTGCACACATTTCAGAGACAATTTAAGAGCAGAGGTGCTTCAGTATTGCCTGCACTGAACAGTCATGTAGCACAGCAGCAATTCCCACAAAATTACGCACAACTGAAACCACACTGTAGCTGTCTCACCTTTCTGTCTTCCTTGCAGTGGAACTCAGGAGGGACTATGTCACAGGCAGTAACTCTTGGAAAGAGCTGCTACAATGCTGCGTCATGACATTTAGAGCATTAAACCATTAATTTAATTAACATTACCCCTCAATAATGCAAAGAGAACATAGGACTTTCATTTATAAGCTTGTTTACCTTTGCAACAAATTTGTAAGGAAGGCAGGTTAATTCCCATTTTTTAGATTGGAGGTAGAAGCTGAATGACAAGTGATAGTGGCCACCTAACAGATCTGTACTTGAGAAGGCATTTAAACTCAGGTCTGAGTCCCACATGAGTCAACCAGACAACAAAGGCTCACTCAGCTGATCAGGCAGTTTAGAGAGGACCTGCAAAAAGTGCACACCTGCCTCTCACAATGAGCCTAAGCCTTGGAGACTGGGCTGGAGAGGATGAGAGCAACACACCCAACACATATGCCCAAGACGGCATTTCATGAGCTATGCCATGTTTCTCTCATCAACAGGGACTGAAATAATGAAACAGGTTTACAAACCATGTTTTCATAGTAATAATAATAACTAAAGGTTTCTTACGTTTATAAGTGGACATCTTAGTGGTCTCCATTTCCAGAAAGTAATTACTAATATTCTAAGCACCAAAGGTATTGCCTAGGCATTTTCGTTATGTGGTTAACAATTCAAATATTAGAATTCTGATTCCTAGATTATTTATTGTCAAAATAAAGACCTGGTCAACAAATAATAGGAATAAACTAATAGAAACCAATTATTCAGGACAACTTTATCAGTAATAGCTCTGAAAAATTTGCAATGTATGTGTCTCTCTCCCCCCTTTTCTTTAGTATGTTATGCATTTTTATATTGTAAACTGTCCTATGATCTTCAAAAGGACACAGTAGGAATGGTTCTGAATTCAGGCTATTGCTATTGCCAATAGCTAGCTAAACTACCGTGAAAAAGATACTAGAGAGGACTGAATCAATGAAGGACAGAGACAAGAATAATAAGAGCTTTAAAACCTTTACTGAAGAAATCTGAATAAGGTTAAAGAAAGATGCAGCAATAGCACTGAAGGAACAAAATATGATAAAACACAAGATTGAATGTATTCCTCACAGATGAAAGTTTTACAAGACTAAGTTGAATAAAAAATGAACAAAGTCCATATGAATAAATCCTAACAGATAGCTCCTTAATCAGAGAAATGGGTGTTTGTACCCACTTATGAAGGCAAACAAAGGACTGCACTCTGCATAGACCTGTGGCCTTATTACTTCAACATTTTCTAAGTTTGTCTTCTCACCTTCCCTGGAGAAAGAACATGTAACTTTTCTTATGAACACACAAATCCCCCATATCCAAAACCAATTAGGCAAAATAAACAAAGGAGGCCAACAAGTTGAAATGACAGTCTGAACAGATGGGTGGGGCATAAAACAACAACAACAACCATATCATGAACCCAAATAATACCATCATCCAGCCAAGGCCTGCACTCTCATTTAATGCCAGTGCTTTATTTGCCCCAGTGATAAACTTCACAGAGCATTCCTGGTCAAAAATTCATGAGAGGTTGAAACACTATTTATTTTCTAACCTCTCACTTCTTGCCCATAGCATTTACACAGTAGAAACATTCATTCCAATATCCCTATTCAGACATCTATGTCTGATGTCTTGGTTAAACAAATACATTTTGGAGGGAGGGAGAAAGAATACACTACCCTCTATCCCATCTGCACCCATGAGTTCAAGGGGGACTAATAGGGGAAGCCTCCTGTGAACATGGAGACTTCTGAGTGGCTCAGAACCAGTGCTATTTTTCTAGAAAAAGAGGTGCTGGAGGCTGGCGGCGGGGGAGAAGCAAGCTTGCTTCTCCCCATCGCCAGCCCCACAAGCTCGGGGGACAGCGGGGCAAGCCGCTGCCCCACGGAGGCTAGAGAGGCTGTTCCTGAAGGCAGAAGAGGGAGACGGAGCGCTCCGTCTCCCTCTTCTAGCTTGGGGATGGCTGCACAAACCTGGGGGGGAAATAAAAAAATTTCCCTTGATTTCCCCCCCCCAAAAAACTAGGTGCGTCCTATGGGCTTATAGGGCGAAAAATACGGTACTTCCCATGGCTGCATATCACATTAAACTAGAACAAATTGGGAGGAGCTACAGTAAGTCTCACTCTGCTTCTATCACATGAATGGGATGAGAACTCCAAGGTCTGCTTTCAGTTTCTTTGCATGTTGGTCTGCCTGGATCAGAATACACCAAGACTCATGTAAGATTAGCAGAATAAATTTTCTGCTCTTCTTTAAAAATAAAAAAGCAAACCTGTGTGTATGCACTTTTGAAAGTTCTGATGAATCTAAAATCCAAATGGATTTTTTAAATAATGTGTTTTGTGAAACTATCAGCATCACCATGTGGGCTATTTATAGGATGCTTTGCTAATCTAAGCCAATACTTGGCTGGTGAAAAGCAAATGACTCATTAACTATCACAGTGGCAAAATATCCTCCAAGGAAATAGAATTGGATAATCCATTAGTAACTCCAGCCAGCTGTCCAGGATAAAAAGGTTACAGGAAGCAAAGGTAGGTGTGCTTTTTCAATTCTCAGAGTCTGAGCCAGTGAGTTCTTGCAATTTAGTAGGAAAACTGATGTTCTCCTGGGAACAGAAAGCAGAGTGAGCAGCCCACTGCTGAATCCCAATTACCACCTCCCAGTTCTTTGCTCTCTCACTTTTCTACCCGCCTTCCATTAAAAAACTTTGCAGTCCTAGTCTTTGCCTGCAGATGTCAGCAACTGAGTTCTTCAGGAGCTCACATGCTAGCTACCTTTACTGAAACAATCCAAGTGTAAATAGGAAATTGGGTCAAACTCCATGCAACTTCTGATTGGGATTTCTCTCTCTCTATTTTTAATGAACAGATTTCTCTCTCTCTCTCTTTTTAATGAACAGCAGTCACAGGGTCCCTGATCTGAATCAAGGTCGTGAAGCTGGAAGGTGGGTGTTAATCCACATTCTGTTTTCCACCCCCAAAACCACCTGTATTCAACAAGCAATTTGTTGCAACGCACGCTGAAGGAGAGAAAAAAAGAACCAGTTCAGGGAAATAAATTTGCACTCCAGAACTGCCCAATGTGGTTCACGTTGATCTGGCAACAGCTGTAAGTTATTCTGGAAAGGGACCTTCACTTATATCAAACGTTAGCTAATCTCAGAGTAGACCTACTGAAATTAATAGACATGGATAAGGTGCATTAATTTCAATGGGTCTACTTTGAGTAGAGCTTTGTGGGATACAACACCTTGGGAATAAGCTTAATTGAACTAAATGGGATTTACGTCTGCCTATAAACACTTTGGGTGTTTTGTTGCTTTGGGTGCTTTCTAGGGAATGTACATTTTGGAAACATCGGGGATTTGCTATGTTCAGAAAGGGCCCAAAATAATAATTAAAAGTAGATATTTTACTGCAGAACAAGGACATAAGTTCAGAAAGAATTAAAGGCTCTTGACTTTCATTACAGACTGTAATAGTGGCATTTCCAAATTTGAGGGATTCATCCCAGAATATGCTGATAGAGTATTTTGGATATAAAACCCTCTTCAAGGAGAGAGGAAAATTACTAGTGATGCTGTGCCAGTTTTAATATCAGCTACAGTTCTTAGACCTTAGGGAAAGCTATGCAAAATAATGCTGAAATAGCAGCGCATAAAACTAAGTTACTGGCGAAAATATTGTTGAATGAGAACCTTTCTTACCATCTACGATTTAATGGCAGTCCCCTCAAATGAGCTATAACATCCTTCCACAATAAATCAGCTTCTAAGAATATAGCACAGATATCAGCTTTCTTAGAAGTATGTAAAATGATTGATTACACCAATTTGACCTAAAGTTAGCCAGAAGGGTACAAAAATAACAATCAAGTAATCAACACTAGTATCATGCATTTAGCTTAAATAACCATGACTATAATAGTCCATAACTGCATTTTTTTCTTCTTCAGAGATGTGCAAAAGCTTAATGATTTGCTCATTTCTGAGTTAAAAATGATTGCAGGAATGTACTCAGATAGGAGTAAGTAACCTGAAACTACTATGGGATGAAATACTGCAAATAATGAAAAAGCAGTACTTCAGTTAAGAGTCTGGTGTGATATATGTGGGCCTTGCTGATAACTTTCCTGTCTTGCTGTATTCTCACCAACTACTTATATGGTAGATGTGCCTAGAGAAAAAAATCTTGAACAGCAACCAGCAAAGGTATTGCTTTAACAGCAATCCATATCCACCTTGGGAATAATCACTAATGTTATCCAGTTTCACAGTGCTCTAAAATGTAAGCAGCAAGAGGGAAGCCACAATGTTGATGTCAGGAATGCATGATGAGAGATATCCAACTACATCATACTCAGTCTTTGTTGTTGTTGTTTAGATGTGTCCGACTCTTCGTGACCCCATGGACCAGAGCACGCCAGGCACTTCTGTCTTCCACTGTCTCCCGCAGTTTGGTCAGACTCATGTTTGTAGCTTCGAGAACACTGTCCAACCATCTCATCCTCTGTCGTCCCCTTCTTCCTGTGCCCTCCATCTTTCCCAACATCAGGGTCTTTTCCAGGGAGTCTTCTCTTCTCATGAGGTGGCCAAAGTATTGGAGCCTCAGCTTCACGATCTGTCCTTCCAGTACTCAGTCTAGACCCACTGAAATCAATACTTAAGTGGATCTACAGGATAGCACCATTATTTGGCATACTTCAAATAAGTTTTAATTTCTATTTTGCAGCAACTCCCTTAGAACAATTTCCAACATTTTAGGAAAAGTTCAAAACTAGGATGAATTTTTTTGACAGCTAAGCAACCATATGGGCAGATAACAATTTTGCTGTTTTAATTAATAATCAATGCTCTGTTGCAGAGGAAAAGTCACCTTTTAAAAGGCTACTGCATTTCAAGCAGAGATGCACCTTCTTCAACACCAAGCCTCAAGTCAAAAGAAGGAAGAAAATAGCTGCTTTACTACAGAAATGTCCTAAACCAGAAAATGTTGCTTTTGAGCACCAAAAAATTGTAAGCAAAGTCTGTGAAATCTTATCTTGTTGGTGCCATGAGAGATGTCTTGGTAGGGCCTCCTGAGCCTGCAATGCTCACAACTTAATGGTCTATCTATTTAGGGACTTATATAGCACTTCAATTTGTCAAGTGCTTTATATCATAAGTCATAACATCCCTATTGCAGATAGTGAGTTAGAGGCTGACAAACTGTGGCTTTGCCAGGGCCACTCAATAAATCAGTATGTGCACCGGGATGGTTTCCAAAGGTCTACACACCAGGTAATGGCTCATTAAATAAGAAGACTGCCTTCTCATTTCCTAATTTAAAAACAATCTATCTGCACATGCACACCATTTCTAGGCAAAATATGTGCAAGCATACAATAAGGGACACTAAAAAAGAATTTGAGGAGCACATTGCTAAAACCAAGAAGGCTAACTGTGGCAAGCTCCCTTAGTAAAGGATGGAGTGAGGTTATGTTACTGGGCCTGAATCGCTTAAATTTAAGACAATCCCTATCAGAAACAAATCTGAATTAAGAGATTATGTGCCTGTGGAACTGATTACTACAATTCAGCAACAAGGACTCTTATTGTTGTGGGTGTCCTATGACCATTTATTTCCTGAACTGGGGAAAAAATAAAGATGAGGGCATAATGGGAACAAAACTGTAAAGCACTCACTCTATGAGGGATAAAGCTTAGTGATTTTGCTAGTAAAGGTACAGTACTTAGTTATACAGATGCAATTAAGAACTTTACTTATTTCCAATAAATCAAATTCCTTCTAAAAAAAATCTCTAGCCCCATTCAAGGATCTCTTCCTTTCCTGAGTTAAACCAATGTGTCCTGCATAACAAACCTCTAATCTCCCAGCTTCTTCTCTAGCCAGGCACCATTGGCCCTTTAAACTGTCGAATTCTACCTTTTTACTCTCTACCCATTCCTGATTTGTTGTTTCACCACTCTGCCATGATTGGCTACAGGGTCTCCAGGAGGGTGACCCCCAGGTCTGTCCATCACATCACCTACTGGCTAGGGAAGCAGCTGGAACTCTGGATGATAAGGGACTCAGCTATGTGCTAGAGGAGGATACTATAGAGAGCAGAAAAGCTGAATAAATTCTGTCTTCTCAGTGCAAGTTAAAGGGCAAATCCCTGTGCCTCAGCTTTCAACATAATTTCTGACATCAAAATACAAAAATCAAGCCAAAACTTCCCTATACATTCTACCACCCCATTTATCACCCATTTATTACTATTTCCTCCCATTTCTTTATCAACGCTCCACTTAATTTAATGTAAGATTATGGAAAAGAACAAAAGACAATGTTTAAGAAGTATGCATTGCAGTTACTGTGTTGCTCATATTATGTTACATGCCAAAAGCATTGTAAGAGGAAATGAGGAGGCACAAAAGATCCTGCTCCAGAATGATGTCACTAAAGGCTAATTTCTCAACGTAGATGCCAATGCTACTTCCTCGTGTTTGAAGCTCCAGCGTGTATTTGTGCCCATGGCCTTTCACTTGAGCAAGGAAGAAGGCATGCAGGGCACTGGACCTTTGGTGGATCTAGTACTTGCCCTGGATAGTTGGCATCAAGTGAAACCCAGGAAGCCAATTATTTAGTATAATTCAATCCAACCATCCTTTCCCTTTGCTTCCCACAATTCTAGAGATAAGCATTAAGAAGTTCTTTAACAGAGACCTTGTGTACAAAAATGTAGTAGTACCACCACCACCAAATATTCCTAATTTTTCTGGTCACATGGATTTAAAGAAGCATTTCCTATTGATAATACAGTGGTACCTTGGTTCTCGAATGTAATCCGTTCCCGAAGTCTTTTCGAGTTCTGAAACGTTCAAAAACTGAACACTGAAAGCGGAAGCTTCAAAATGGAAGCCGCGTTTCCTGTTCGACTTTGGAGGCGCGTTCAAAAGTCGAGGCATTTACTTCTGGGTTTTTGGTGTTCGAGTTCCAAAATGTTCGACTATGGAGGCTCTGAAGTTCAGTTGATCTTAAATTACAAGCAGCTCTGGAGCAGTTTCCAATTGTGCTGTCAGATTCTCTTTGGCGACCAGGAGATGCTAATAAGAAGTAAACTTGGTGCAGAAGTTTATGGGTGGCATGTTTTTCTCCAGCTGCTTTAAAGACTTCAATGGCCAATTCAATTAGTTAACAGCTAGCAAATCTGACTACAAGGGATTTCATTGGAAACAACCAGAAGATATTGGAACACATCTATCACAAACCCTGGGAGAGTAACACACAGATTTCTGTTATCTGAAGCAACAACATGCACGGCTGCACTTGCATGCTCTGCTGACATCAATAAGGCTGGTACATAAACGAAGATGTTTTGGCATAATAAAGCAGTGCATAAATGAAAGTGGCTATTGTTCGACAACACCTATTCTAATTTAGCTCCTTAAGAAACACTGGCAAAATCAATGTTTGCTAAATGGGAAAGAACAAAATCAGCAGAGAAAGGAATTAAATTTTCAGCCTTTTAAATCAATATCGGGAAGAAGTAAGACACGAACTGGAGGCAGTATCCTCATGCACTAAAGCACCACAGATTAAAGCCAGGAAAGAAATAATTATATAGGAAATATTTCTTCCAAGGTAAATTGCAGTTTTGAAACAAGAGGTACTACATACAAGTAGCTAGAAATCTGGGAAATCTAGGCTTAAGACCCATCAGATCAATTTATAAAAGCTTTTATTTGGTTCAGATTTTGATAATTTCAGATTTTGTAAACGGCTATATTTACAACTATCACTGAAACCCAGACGGATTGCCTCAGCCACTGCAGATTTTTAGACATAACACATTAGAAGAATTCATTAGTATAATAATCTGAAATGAGCTGAGCCACCCATTCATATCAAAACACAAAGACTTACCTCCAATAATTTTAGACTGGCAATTAATAAATTCTGGCTTTTTGTCTGTAAGGTACCGCTGACAGGTATGATGAAGAATTTGAAAGAATGTACATTTTTCAGAGGCTGTGCTTGCTACCCATTGGTCAAAAGCATTTTCAAATAGTAAATCAAATTCTGGGGAATCCTAGGAGGAATAATATTAGAATTACAGGAGAAATGATGTTTTTAAAAAAACACACAAAGAAAATGTTAAAGAAAATGATGTACAATGATTATATATAGCCCAACTTCTTGCAACTTTTGCAAATGTATGTCATGTATGCAATTCCATATTATAATGTAGAATATCATGACTAGAACTACTACAAAAGTCAGCAAAATTGCTAAAGGAAATTCAGCAACAGATGTCATGAGGTTGTTTAACCTGGCTAACTCCACTCCCATTTAATACGAAGAGTCAAACACCAGTTCACACCTACAGTTAAGCCATATTTTGAAAAAACAAACAAACCCCTGATTAAACCACAGTTTAACAATCAAATGGTATATAAATCGTATGGAATAAAAATAATGCTCACAAGTGCTTTCCTCTTTCCCTGCTCTTGATTGTGATGTACAGTGGAACCTTGGATTGCGAACGTGATCCGTGCGGGAGGCACGTTCTCAACTCGCAGTGCCACATCTGCGCACACGCGGGTCATGATTCGGCGTTCCTGCACATGTGCCAAAACCCGGAAGTAACCCGTTCTGGTACTTCTGGGTTTGGCGCGGTGCGCAACCCGAAAACACGTAACCTGAAGTGTCTCTAACCCAAGGTACTACTGTACAGGGGATGAAATGAGCCAGTCTGACTTAAGAGTGTAAACCTGACTTGTCGTTTGTTTTCTCCAAACAAGTCATGAATGCTAAAGCCAAGAACAAACTTTAGCCAGAAGCAAACCAGGATTCCAGGATCACACATCAAGGCAAATAAAATTGTTGTTTCTTTCCTCCTTCCCTCACATGGCACGGTCAGCCGTGGAGGAAAGAAAAACAATTAATTCTAAATCAGAGGTACCCAATGTGGTGCCTTCTAGATGTTATTGGAGTACAATTCCTATCAGCCCCAGGAGCATGGCCAATGGCAAGGGATGATGGGGACTGAAATCTGACAACACCTGGAGGGTACAACATTGACTATCCCTGTTTTGAACTGTGGTTGAATGCTGCATGCAATCTAGGCCACTGAATCAATCTGGTTCTGAGATGGCCATTTGTCAAGCTACAGTAGCGTGATCCATCATCAGGTGCCACATTGGGCCAGTGCTGTTTTGAAGCAGATGGTTCTATCTGTGCCTCTAGCATGCTATCAGCAGGATCATCACTCTCTAGTACGCATGGGGTCAGACATCATTTTGTCTCCCATGTACAGTGGTACCTTGGTTTGCATACGTCTTGGTTTGCATACGTTTTGGATTACAAACACGTCAAACCTGGAAGTGCGTGTCCTGGTTTGCAACCTCTTTTTGGATTACAAACAATTTTTTTTTGGAGGCCCCATTGGTGAAAGTGCGCCTTGGGTTACAACCTTTTTTGGTTTACAAACGGACCTCCGGAACTGATTATGGTTGTAAAACCAAGGTACCACTGTACAAAGAAAAGAGACAGCAGGATGAATGAGGGTTAAAAATGGTACACCTTGCTGAAATCTACAGTTTTTAATTATTTTGGACTGCTTCTAGCATTATTTACCATAAAGATATATGTTTAGTTAAGAGGACAAGTTTTCTTGCCTGGATATATTAATTAAATTCCCAATGCAACACGGGGGCAAAATAATGGTTCAGATTATTACAAGAGGAAGTTAGCAGCAGCAGAGAACATGAAAGCCTACAAGGTAAGGATAAGTTCATTCACACACACTGGGATTCCAAACACTTCTTTTTCCTAAAATAGCAAAGGTGAACAGATAGAAAAGTGGTGAAATCTAGAGAGGTTTACGAAGGAAATCGAAGCATTTGGAATCTATACCTAAGGTCCTAAAGGGCTGCACTTAAAAAGAATCCAAGACAAGACATGGTTTTCTTTTTTTAAAAAAAAATCAAATGGGTGAGTTTTTCTTTTGAAAAACAGGAAGAATAAAAGATATGAAGCATCACACAAGCAGAATATCACTAAGTGGGAACGAGTCACTACTCACCTTATGAGGGTCTATTCCGTTAACCTGGCGAAGTTGTTCAAGCGTCCACTGCGACCTTCGGACAAAAGATGTGGAACCTCCAAACTGTTTGACTTTTGTAATAGACGCCTGTGCAGGTTTCTTGTTCGTCACTGTACACATAACACAAAGAAATCCATGTTTAAGCATACAGAAGGGTTTCTATAACTGCAAACAGGCTTGTTTACAGACCTGACAGTTTCCAATAAATCATGACAAGCGTGCCTCAACATATTTAAACCTAGATTCCTGTTCCTCACACCCCTGTTGCAAGAATGACCTCAACCTATTTTAGGCAACTGCAAAATAAAGTACAGTGGTGCCCCGCAAGACGAATGCCTCGCAAGACGGAAAACTCGCTAGACGAAAGAGTTTTCCGTTTTGGAGGTGCCTCGCAAAACGAATCTGCTATGGGCTTGCTTCGCAAGACGAAAATGTCTTGCGAGTTCCTGGGTTTTTTTTTCCTTCCTCTTTTTCTAAGTCGCTCAGCCGCATATCTGCTGATCCGATCAGCTGATAAGCTGCTAAACGCCGCATACAGCCGCTAATAGCGCTAATAGCGCTAATCCGCTAATCCCATCAATGGGCTTGCTTCGCAAGACGAAAAAACCGCTAGACGAAGAGACTCCCAGAACGGATTCTTTTCGTCTTGCGAGGCACCACTGTAACCAGAGTCCTGGCCGCTGAACAGCAAACAGTGTGGTTATTTTCCTACAAAAAGCCTAATCCTACTTCCAGCACAGACTTCTTCAACCTGGTGCCCTCCTGATGTTTTGGACTATAACCCCCATCACCCACAGCCAAGGTACCACACTACCTGCACTAAACTTGAGTTTGTGGGTGCATTGCAAGTACAAAATCCAGTTTGCTCATACTGCTCTGATGCATCAGAGAAGGCCCCAAGAACCTGATGCATTTACCATGACTGGATCCAAAGAGGTTTGAGACTGTTCACGAGTATTTTTGCACATGCAACAGGATATTTAGAATGCTTCCTTTTGTTTCTTCAGCAACAAACAGCTTTTCAAATAAGTAAATCTTGCTTTCAACACTTATACTGAAATGTATATTCATGGAAAAGGTGTGTATGTGGTGCATGCATTTTTATTTTTATTTTTTGTTGTTTCATTTCTCACAGGGAAGATTTAAAATGGCATTGTCAAAAAGGAGTATAAACCTTTTAATGTCTTAAGACAAGTAGTATATACAGCACTTACAGATAAGATTAAAGGATCACATTTTTAATGACAATATAATGAATATACTGCTGCAGTTTCTTCAAAATAATTTTGAATGGTCTTGTCCCATGTGATGTTTTATTTTGCAATTGTTGGCTAATGCAGTTCATCTTTGACCTTGAGATATACACGGGCCTGAGGTTCCCACATCCCTCCTTTAGAGGCTGGATTTGTTGCATGTCTCCCTGGCTATGTAGTCTGATTTTTAATTCTGATTTACGGTGCAGTTTTTTTAAAAGAAAAAAATAAAACATTTGTGGCTGGCTTTTATTGGTTGGTTTCCAATGAGTAATTCTGTTATTGCAAGGATTTCCATTTGTGTAAAGGAGTTTGCATTCTCTCTCCTCTCCCCATGGGTCTCCCAGGCCTTCTCTAAATCTGCTCCAGAGGGTTGGCGGGAACCCCAGAATGCATTTAGGGGGCATGCAGGGAGAGGAAAGAGGGGATTGTTCTGTTGCACAGCTAGAAATCTTTTTGCTAATGGAACTACTTTGATGGATACTGCCCATTGCTTGACCTTTTCTGCATGAAGCTGTTGTTTTTTTAAGCTGCCTTGTATAAATAAATGAGGAAAGGCAGTGCAGAAAACTGAGTCTACTTCATTATGACTCAATAATCATGATCTGTTTTCTCCAGGAAAATCATGTATATTTTGAAGAACCCTTTACAAGCCATTTGCTTAATAAACATAAAACAAAACAATATGATAGTGACCTGGTCTATTGACATATTATGCTCCAGAAGAGCACTTGGGTGTAATTTGATTTACATACACTTTCCTCACTGAATCTAAAATATTATGCACCAATTTAATTTGTCTGTAGGCTGGATTAGTACTTGATTAAATCCTTTATTATCTATCCTACTAAATGCCGTTAAATTGCTGGACTGTTTGAATCGCTATGCTTTTAGTACTGATATGAAACAGCTTGATTATTTAATGTTGCCGGACTGTCACTGTAATCCTGTTACGGACTCGTTTTCTCAATATACAAATATTTTCCCCGTGCATATAATAGCAACTAAAATACGGCAATTGACTTACTGTGCTTTTTGTTTTCATATGTTATGTTTCAAAGCAGCACATGAACATCTTGACATGCAAATCAATTTTAATTATTATTTTTAGAACAACTCTATATGAGTACCAGTAGCATACTAAAATAATAGTCATACCTTAAAGTATGCTAGTTTTTAAATACACTCAAAATCCCAAGTCTTTATTCTTTGATCAAAGTATGCTTATCAAAGCAATTTAAATGCAGGTCAGTAATAAGGCACTGAGTAATCACCATTTTACTGCTCCAACATCAATCAGATAAGAGGGATTAGGTCTATACTAATTATTTGGTAGAACAAAAAAGTTTATGCATATTAGAAGCAGGCTTCAGATTGGTATCGGGTTATTAAAAAAAATGTATTTGCTGGTGCAGCTGAGTAGGAACTGAAGATTGCAATCTCACTAGACATTTTGTCCTTCTGATATGGTTATCAGATTACTTTGTTCCATTTAACAGATAGCTATCTTCGTCAGTTGTATTGCTTTCTATTTATCAAGAATAATTTATACAAAACTATATTGCTGGATATCTATTTCTGGAAGTAGATAGCCAGCAGTGAACAGCCAAGCGTAACTCCATATTTGTGATTATCTTCTAAATGAATTAATAAAGAAAAATGAAAACATGCTCAAGATTGAAATCAATCAGTAGGGGTGATCATATTCATTATTCAGTGGGTAGGACATGCCTGCAAGAAATCAGGGTCCTGCATGTTTGCATGTATTAGGAGAGAATATAAACTGCTTGAAGTGTACAATTCTGAAAGCTTCTTCCCAGAACACTTGTAACAGCTAGACATCATCAGCGGTTTAAACACAAGGTTAGGTTTTACTAACACACAAGTAATTGGATCTTCATATTGAGCAGAAGCAATATATTTTAGGCTGATTTAACAGTGCCTGATTTGGGCAAGAAATGAGAAAAGACTCTTTCCCAAAGGCACAGAGGAGCTTTTCACCGTTCTTCAGAAGTTCAATAAATTGTCATGTTCAGAAACCATACCCTAAAATCAGGATGAAAGAAAGTGTTCTTTAGGAATGACTTGGATTATCTTCTCTGATGCTTAGTTGCTGCCCCAATGTATCTCAGGTGCGTAGCAAGCCTCGCTCAACTTATGAATCTGTCGTGAGATGGGCCGAAACTACACAGATGGGATTCAACTAATAATACCCATCAGCAAAAGCCCTGTGCAAGGACTTCTGCTTGTGCAACAGAGATTTCCCTCCCTCTTCTCTGCCCTGCACCTCCCACAAATTGGCTCAGGGAGAGGTTCAGGAGAAGCCTTCCAGAATAGCAAGATTGGGGGGTGGGGAGGAGTAAGAGGAGAGATCATTTGACCTGGCAAATCAAAAAGCTTGCGCTGACAGAACAATCGGAAAAGCACAACACAGACTTTATTCCCACAGTGAAGCCAATTAAAATAAACAAACACACCTGGAAGTGCTTCATATTCTTATTTTTATCTATAAGTTTCTTAATATAGTTCTAAAGCTTTAGCAATGTATCATATACCAAATTTGACATTCTCATTTTTAAAATGAAGCAGAAATTGTGGCTGATACCTAAATATACTTTCAATAAATTTATATAATTTTAATAAAATTAATACTAAATTTTACCTTGACAAAAGGTAAAGAGCCACTTTTGATGCCATCCAACAACTTGGATTTTTGACTTTTATTAGCAGCCTCCCTGTTACATATCACAAACTATTTTTCAGTTTGCGGAGTAGCTTGGGGCCTGCTCTCTGAGGCACACAAGTCAAAAGGCTTCCTTGTGAGTGGCAAACTAGCCCATGTGTTCTTTGGATTCAAGCCAATGCCGAGAAGTTCAAATACAAAGATGGTTGAAAATTAAACAGCCAGCAAAGTCGAACTGTAAAATTCTTTTGGTAATCAGAAATCTTTTGACAAAAAGCTTGATTGCTTCTCTGGAAAAGCCATCTATATATTTATAAACTGCTGAAGGCATCAAAATGTGAACTGATGCATAGAATTAAGTGTTTGATGTCTCAGAGCTGTTGTAAGAAGGAAATAATTATTACACAATTGTTTACATTTTAGCTGCCAAAAGACTTTTCGGTTGAACTGTGAAATGAGGGAAACTTCCCCACTGGGGGTGAAACATCAAGACTGCAGTTATGTCTGTATTCCATTTTCCATGTGTACAAAGAAATCAGCCCACTACTTGGTTGCTTAAAGATAAAATAAATCTTTTACATCAGTTCATGCAAGGCATACACAGAAAGATTTAAACTAGACTGTGTAACTTCTAAGTTGCATTGTAATAATAATAATAATAATAATAATAATAATAATAATAATAAATTTTATTTATATCCCGCCCTCCCCAGCCAAAGCCAGGCTCAGGGCGGCTAACAACAAACAAATAATCAAACAATCAAATAATCCAACATTCTAAAACATTTCATTATAAAAATTAATTAAAATCAAATTAATGGCAACCGTTAAGCAAAGTTCTGTGCAGGTTGCCAGAGGAGGGAGTCAGGCTGGGCCCTGACCAAAGGCCTGGTGGCCTGGTGGAATTCATTACTGTGACTACGCTACCTTGTGTCTTGGAATGTCAGTAAGAAATAGTTACAGCAACTCCCTGTTGTCAGTGTCAGATTCAGTTTCTAGACAATGCAATCATAAGGATGGAGTCATGTGGTGAAGTAAGGCCACCTGATTAATGATTTCATTGATCAGCAAGTTCAAACAGAATATCCCCAAATACCTGTTAGATAAAAAAAAAAATCACGAAACCTTCTTTTCCAGAGTTTATGTAAAAGGCACTGCTTGCTAATGTGATATTCATTGATCACTAGAGGGGGCACTTTCTGCAGTTCTGCATCGGTTTCAGAAAAATACCATGAGTGGTACCTCGGTTTATGAACATAATCCGTTCCAGAAGTCTGCTCTTAAACTGAAACCGTTCTTACACTGAGGCACGCTTTCCCTAATGAGGCCTCCCACCGCTGGTGTCTTTCCACCGCTCAGCTTCCGTTCTTAGACTGAGGTAAAGTTCACAAACCAGGACACTACTTCCGGTTTTGGGAGTTCGTAAACAGGGCTGTTCTTAAACCGAGGTACCACTGTAATAAGGAATCCTTTCTCTGAGCCTTTGATCTTGATGTGCAAACAGCACCAGACAAGGCAGGTACCAGCAGCATTTGCAGAAGCAACAAACAAACAAAAATTATGATGAGGCCATCTTATTGGGGGTGGGGATGGGAAGAAACTGAACTTTATCCATATGGCAAGTCCCCAAAGCAATTTGGTCAGATGACAGCCTAGGAAACTGAATTGCACAGGGTGGAAGGATTAACTCCCTTCTCATCAGTTCAAATTAGCATCCTTAATTGGTGTTTTTTGGACATTACTAGCTTGGCCCTTTAAATGTATTACAATAAGTTCATGGAATAGGTATCATATCTGTACATTAATGTTGCTTTGCCTCTGAAGACACCTCCCTGTGGTACTTATGAATAACCCAACCTGCTTTTGTCATCTGATCACATTACTTGCATACTATGATGTGCAGCATAAATATGACTCTTTGCTTTCCCCTTGCACACTTTGTTTTTGCCACAGAAACTCAGAGAAGGATCAGTGGCAACTGAAACCACCTGTTAGTTTAACAAACTAGTCCAAATTTGTTAATCGATGTCTGTGCCTGTTAGCAAATTTCAGAAACCATATGACAAATCTGTCATGCAGGGATGACAAAGGAGGATATTCAGCTAAGTTTTACTCAAGAGTAGATTAATGAACATGACAAAGTTAGAAACCTTAATTTAAATAAGTCTGTTCTGAGCCCAACTCAGGTGAATACAGTGGTACCTCGGGTTAAGAACTTAATTTGTTCTGTTCTCATCCTGAAGCAAAGTTCTTAACCCAAGGTACTATTTCTGGGTTAGCAGAGTCTGGAGCCTGAAGTGTCTGTAACCCAAGGTACCACTGTACCACCCAGAGACTTCTCTCTTTCTCTCTCTAAGTGTTGGTAATTTTAAAACTTCAATTTTCTAAATGATAGTTACAATACTTGAAATAATCTCACAATTGTGAACCCCACTCCATTGGGCACCAGTGCTTAAAAGCAACATAATTCCTCTTTGTTTGTTGTGCTGAGAAAAGAGGTTTACTTGTTTTAACCAACTGCAGTCAGTTTCAAAACAAGCCAACTTCAAATCACGTCATAACATGATCCCTGGCCAAGAGAAGACGACGTTTCTGAGAAAGCAAAATGAGAAGTTGTTGAAGTTCTCCACCCAGAGAGGGGAAGAGCACACAAGTCCAGGGCTCACTGCCAGTCCTTGCTGTTTGTGCATGTTTTGCTAACCCGTGGTTTAAACATGATGCAAAAAATTGAGCCAATATGCAACAGAAATCTTTAAAACAAAAATATGAGAACTAGCATGCCTTATGTATAGGTGAAACTCCCTGCAACAAAATGGGGCGACATTTTGAAATCTCAAAATTATATTTGCTGTTTGATGCCAGTATTGACTATATCTGCTGAATTCAGATAATCTACCAACCTCAAAGAAGCCCTTCTGTTATATTGTTGCTGACAGTATCAAGGGATGATAAATCATGTGAATGGATGAGGAAGAGACAAATGCAATTGACCATTCAGATTTACCCGCAGAGATTAGGAATATATTTTTGCTAGACAGTTGTTGAAAAGCAGATGAGTGGGGTTCTTCTGCTCCAGTGGAGGAGAGACATAACTTTCCAAATATTCTGAATTGTTCCCTCCCTGGCAGATATATGATTGGAAAATCGGGGTAGCCCTATTTGCAGTGTAAAATTGGGAGGCTGGACTCAGGCTGCACAATCAAAAGACTACAGAGTGAGCAATGCCACAGACTGGGTTCACCTCCAGCAAGAATCCTATATTTCATTTATGTGTGCTTTGAAAGGGCCTACATCTAAGAAAACAAGTTGTGCTAATAATATCAGCCACATAATTAATTGCTTAACTGCCCCAATTCCATTCCCCACCCCCCGGGCCAACTGAAGTTTAAGGTTTGAATATCAGTTCCTAAATCTATATTAATTTTCTGTGTGGTGATATTTATTAGAAACTGTCAAACTTATAAACTCAGTATCTTTCTTTTACAGATTTTGAACAGCCAGTAAAATTGTGAAGGGTTGGGGGGGGCTGTCTCTTCGCCCACCCTGGTTTTCTGAGGTTTTAATAATGGGGGAAAAACCATAATTGTGCACGGACATGAGGTAGAAGAGAAATGTTTGTGAGCACTGCTGAAGATTTTCTTGCTGTAGCTGATTGGAGTAGGCAAAAATAAATAAATATCTTTTTAAAAATGGGGAGGGAGCGCTTCACTAGTGTAATATTTTCAAATAAGAGATGAAAAGTCAGGGCAAGGAATTGAAATATCATAGGGAGGAGGACTCTATCTCTTTCAGGCTCCCTACTTTATTATTACCTAGCATCTTGTTAGGTGTGGTTTAAGATTAGGATGCCATTCTGTTGTAGAGGTAGGACTAGACATCATGAAAAATGTCAAACGGAAGATGTGGCAAATATTTTTACTCATCATGCTTCATGAGGAGAAAATGCTGTTTTACGCTGTGCTAATGAGGGTGAAAATGACAGCCAAGTGCTTGCATAAGGAAGAAATAAATAATGAAGCCACCTTTTAACCAGTAACTTCCGAGTCCCACCCCAAAATTCCACACATTCCTAAAGTTCAACTCAGGCAAAATATTTCAGCCACGCAAAAGAAGCAATGGATTTAAAATCCAACACATCCTCAGTCCCACAGCGAATGATAAAACCTACCCAAACTCTAGCACATAGTGCAAAATGACTGAATTTAGCATCCACAAACGCCAGCTAACCCACACAGAGAGCAGTGGCTGATATTTATTTAGGAGTGGAGAGGTAAAGAAGAAAGAATGCAATGCAGTTCCATGGAGTAGGTTGGCGAATAGAGAAAATTCCAGTCAGAGATGTGAAAACATATATAGAGAGCACCTGCCAAAACACCTTAGCATTCTTCTTTCCACATCCCTTCTGTACGGTACATCTGAAAACAAACATCCCTGTTAATCTTTCTCTGCCCTGACACTCCGCATGTAGCTTTTCCGGTATCTATGTGTCACATTTTAATTCCCACATTCACAGCCTTCCAGATAAACGACATTAGAACAAATCTATAATCTCCAAGACATGTTTCCATGCAGCATTCTCTGCAGCTGTTGCTCTATTTTGGTGTCTGTGCCAGAGCTCTTTGCTTGTTTCGGTGTTAGAAACTGAGAAACTGAAGCTAGGCGCTAAATGGCACCATACACCTAGGTTGTGGGCGCAACAATGGAATGTCTAGGCGCACCTTTTTTATAACAAGAATACAAAGCTGAAAATGAATGAACTGCAGCTAAAATATTATGTCCATTTTTCACATGGTCTAGTCCTTCCCCTGCCCACGCCCATAATATTCTTAAGAGGGTCTCTTTTCCAGTCTTCAGAGAGTAGCTGGAAGTGGGGAGGCAGAAAAAGGTCATCCTTTCCTTCCACTCTGCAGCTTTAATCAGAAATCTTAGGTGCACTACTGCGCCCAGAAACTGCTCAAGCTAATGAAATTCCCTGTCGCAAAATGCGCCAAAAACAATGAAAGTTTTGAACACTGGCTTGTTTCCATCAACTAAACACATGGCATTTGGGTGTTTTCAAATGTAAAGGGCAAAACCAACATTCTCTCTAGTACCATAGTGGGGAACCAATGGTCCTTAAGAAGTCTCTGACCACTGGCCGTACTGGGCTGGGATGGATAGTACTTGGAATCCAATAACATTTGGAGGACCACAAGTTCCTCACCCCTGTTGTGCTGTGTTTGTGAATTTAAACATAACCACGTTCCCTAAAAGGAATATAGATATAGATTCGATTCATAATACTCTCAGAAAATTACAGTGCTTTTATGATCATCTGCCTATGGAAACACATGCCAGGCACAAGAGAGAATGTTCAAGTAATGCAATGCAGCCACCAAGGCAAGACATGTCAGCATTGGCCAAACACTTTAGTCACGTTCTTCAAATTATAATCAGGACTTCTCATTACAAGAGCAGGAGTAATGAATTGGAAGATGTCACTGCACACAGATTAAAACAACTTAAGAGCCCTGCTGGATCAAACTACCTAACCCAGAAACCTACTTCCCACAGAAGCCAATCAGATGCTTCAGGGAAGCCAAGGAGGAGGGCTTGAAACATGTTTTGTGGTAAACTGGTATTTTGTGGTATGTGCCTTCTTTATATGGAGATTTCACATAACCATCATGATCAATAGCCAATTAGATACCCATCCCTCCATGATTCCCCTCCCCCTTTAAAGCCTTTTAAAGCTATCATCATCCAGATTAGTGACTTCCATAAATTAATTATCTACTGAGTAAAGTAGTACTTTCTCCTTCTTTCTTATCCAAAGTCTACAGAATTTGCCATTCTGAGAAATGTCAGCTTTTATTTTTTATTTTTTTTAAAAAAGAAGACAAAACATGTTCTCTCACAGCTGTGGAAAAGGTTGAGCAATGGTGGTCTGTACTATAGCACAGGTGTGGGAAGACCTAAGAGCTGGAAATTAATTTATTATATTTGGATCTACCAGTAGATCTCTGGGCAATCAGCAACAAGATGACAAACACACGTGCCCAGGAACGGGCTTTTGTGTGGAAGGACTGTGAGCTCAGTTAGTACTCAAAACAAACCCATGAATTCATAATTCTTCCTTCTAACTGAATGGTTTTTCCATGAGGCTCTGGTTCCCTCAGGATCATGGGGCAGGAGTCTCTTTCACAAGCCTGGGATATGCCCGCCCCTGGTGTAGCAGACAGTGTCTCTTGAGCTGGACGAGGGAAACAATTGTTCACATGTCCTCCCACACACCCTTCAATAATAAAGCTCACTCCTGTGACTTGGCCTAATCACTCTCTTTCAGGGTGGATGGAGAGAGTAAAATAACCCACAGAACACAGGTAGTTGTCTTGTACCAATACGGATCATTGGTCCATCCAGCTCAATTTTGTCAATAATGATTGGCAGCAGTTCTCTGGGGGTTTTGTGGAGGTCTTTCCCAGCCCTACTTGGAGACATCAATGATTTAATCTGAGACTTCTTGCTTGCAAAGCTCAACCCTCTCCTTTCCCCCCTGTACTTTGCCACCATCCGTTTGGAAAAAGAACGAAACTGCATGTATAACAAAGTGAAGATCATAAATCAGAAAGTAACCTTCATATAGTCAGGAAGTGAGCATTCTGTCTCCTTCCCTTCATCCATGCCACAGCTCTCTTCTTCATCTTCCTATTTTACTTCAATCCAAGCTACTGAAATAGGTTTCCGCATCTCTGTGTTTTCAGATTCTGGGATTGTTTTTATTTTACACAAAGAATCCTCAGCTGTGCTTACACTCATTAGACAACATGAGGTGATGCCATATCATAATTATATTTAAATGCAACAACTCCTGGGCAATATATTCAGCTCAATTTTAGAGTTTTTGTTGTTGTTGTTCAATCCTGAGATAAGCATGTTCAGGTTTGAGATATAAGGCTAGCCTGAGGTTAGAAACACTAGGGGAGCTGGGAGGTATAAGGGAGTTTTGCTTCCAAAGCAGCAATTAAACCAGATTCAAAAGTGTCATTAAATTTAAAAGAGCAAAAAACAGATGAAACAGCTGGAGCCTGGAGGGATTCTTCTTTCTTGGCAAACCAATGTTCTCTTCCTGAAGCACACAAAATGTCAGAGTAGGTATTTATCGCAGAAAATTATAAAATGGTAGTTAGTTACTTGTGGCACAGAGATACAATTCTCCAACAAGGTTAGCTCTTAGCTACTATACAACAGTAAGGAAAAGGTAAAGGTACCCCTGCCCATACGGGCCAGTCGTGTCCGACTCTAGGGTTGTGCGCCCATCTCACTTAAGAGGTCAGGGGCCAGCGCTGTCCGGAGACACTTACGGGTCACGTGGCCAGTGTGACGAAGCTGCTCTGGCGAGCCAGCACCAGCGCAGCACACGGAAACGCCGTTTACCTTCCCGCTATAAAGCGGTACCTATTTATCTACTTGCACTTAAGGGTGCTTTTGAACTGCTAGGTGGGCAGGAGCCTGGACTGAAAGACGGGAGCTCACCCCGCCACGGGGATTCGAACTGCCGACCATGCGATCGGCAAGCCCTAGGCACTGAGGTTTTACCCACAGCAACAGTGGCAGCTCCTAATTTAAATTCCAGCTTTTACAATCTCTAGTCACGATTGTAACTGTATGTCTCCAAGTTTCACCAAACCCAGTAAGTATAGCCAAAGATCAGGGTAAATGGGAGCTATAGTCCAAAAACATCTGGACAACCACAGATTAGCCACACTTGCTATAATTAATAATTGCACATGTTTTGCACTACAAATTATTGTGGTGTACTACAAATCAAGTGTACTACAAATCAAGTCCAAATATGAGACAGCATTATTCTAAAGTTGTACACATGCAGACCTTCATGCCTTAATATGGTGCCCTAGTGAGTTAGAGGACAGAACTATTTGGATCCAGGTGTGCCACAAAGTCCTGTGCCAAAGGTTGAACACCAGTAATGTTGGCAATTGTAGTGTCATACAATATGCACCATAAAGTCTTTTGGTCATTTCCTCAAGAATAGTTCTTCCCTACTTGAAAGGTTACAGACATGCTACTTTAATTCTTAGTGCCTGATGTCTCCATCAACAGCACAAATTTGCTTCCTTACTATTCCTCCCCTGCTGCTCCAGTTGTACAAAGTAATATTATTTAATTGCTTGTCAAAATGTTTGGCATTATGTGCTGTTCAATCTTTTCCGCTACTAATTTACCACAGTTCCAAGACAATGACCTTGTTTTACCTTTTAGGAAAAGAAGCTCATAATTAGAGAGAGCAACTAGAAAGTCGTCTTCTACTCAATAACATATGAAAATATACTAGGAGTGTAGCCCCCTCTATTACATGTTATTTGTGTGAAGAAGAACACTGCTAGCAGAGGGACTCAGAAGCGGTGGCAGTTTCACCAATGATATACTGCTGAGTGAAATAGACATTGCGGTCTGCTCCTCATTCTGGTCCTGGGCGATATACTGATATATCGCCCAGGTATACTCTACATTTGCCCTGCATCACAGAATCCAATTCCGCAATAGTCTCAAACTTAGGTATCAGCTAGTCCATGGGTAGGCAAACTAAGGCCCGGAGGCCAGATCCGGCCCAATCGCCTTCTAAATCTGGCCTGTGGACAGTCCGGGAATCAGCATGTTTTTACATGAGTAGAATGTGTGCTTTATTTAAAATGCATTCCTGGGGCCTGCCTGGTGTTTTTACATGAGTAGAATGTGTGCTTTTATTTAAAATGCATCTCTGGGTTATTTGTGGTACATAGGAATTCATTCACACACCGCCCCCCCAAAAAAAGTCCAGCCCTCGACAAGATATGAGGGACAGTGGACCAAACACCTGCTGAAAAATTGTCCTGACCCCTGGTCCCTCTTTCTAATGCTCGAGTTAATGAAGAAAAATGTGGAGCTTTGTGCTTTTTCTTTTACTGGACATGGTGTGTATGCTCAAGAAGTGTTACTTCGGGTCAGCGCTTTTTTTCTAGAAAAATAGGTGCCAGTACTCACCATGAAGTTGTTACAGTAAGTGCCACACTTTTTAACAACAATAAAAAGAGGTGCCAGTACTTTGTACCCATAAGTACCCCCTGAAAAAAAGCACTTATCAGGGTGAAACTTGTTTTTTTAATGACACAAATAGGATAGGTGAAGCTTAGTTATATTAACGCAGAAGCAAGAGATGGGCAATATGAAGCTGAAACTCAACATTTAAAATTCTGGTTTTGTTTTTTTAAATCAAATGCTTTAGAGCTGCATGGTATACATTTTGCACAACAATTAAAACAAAATATATCAATAAAAACCCCAAATATACTACTAAAGAGTGCTATCAGAACCTTGACCATAAGGAGACACCTCAACCAGATTGAGCACAAAAAACATAGCCTGCAACTGCAGAATAAAGTCAAATAACACTTGAGACCCAATGTATGAGTAATAATTTAAGAGCTTCCTTTCAAAAAGGGAGAAAACCAAAAACTGAACCATACCCTACTATTCACTGTAGTTTTAGCATGAAGTTGCTTGAAATGTTAGATTTTCAAGCTATTAAGTTTTTTGTCCCCTGTTCTGCAACACACAGTTATTATACCTTTCCTTTAGGCTGTTTACATGAAGATGGATAATCATAAAAAACTGCTGATGCGGAAACCTTTCCTTAAGGAAATGGTTTTAAATTTGCTTCTTTTTTAATGACCGGGGGAGTGGGGGGGGAGTATTAACGATACGGCTAAAATCTAAATTAAGAGAAAAAGGTTTCTGGAAATCAAAACCCTGTGGGTCATGGTTAACACTAAAATCATGTGCATTTGTGCTAAGCCATTGTTTGCTTTAGCATTACATTAATGGTTCAAGAAGTAGGAAATATTTTAAAGGTGAGACTGAATGCTATGCTGTAGAAACGCTAGTTAGCATTTGTAGCTGAGGGTTTTTGCTAACTTGCATACTATAGATTTGTTAGAAAGCTGCCAAGAGCCCAAGATACTGTACTTTTGTTGTCAGAAAAATCTTATGGACACATATCTATCTTTTGTCAAAGGGAAGTTGCCAGGAAAACGTCACCAGCTGAGGGGTGGGGAGTCATTCAAGATGTTCCCACACTGACAAGCACTTCAGAGACAGTGAGGCTGATATGTTAACTAATCTGCCCAAGGCACCACAGAACTTGATAATAATCACTTTTTATGGCAATGCATGCATCACAGGCATAGTTTGCAAAGAGAAGGCAAGAAAACAGCTACATGTATGCACCAAGTTAGGTATTGTGGGTTAGTACAAAAGAAAGCCTTCAGCCCTACTTGCTGCCTGCTTAATATTAATCTGCTCAATACACTGCCTAAAATCCTGGTGAGATACTGCCAGCCACTGTGTAGACAATACTGAATTAGATGGACTGTCAGTTGAATTCTGTATAAGGCAGCTTCCTAAATGCCTATGACAGTGAGGGAGGTAGCAGAAAGAGAGAAGGAAAAACAAGGCATCTGGGTATCAGGCCTGTATGTTAAATGACAAATAAAATCAAGTCTCCTATACGCAGCTATCACTAGAAGTTATTAACAGGCACTAAAAATTTACAAAAGGAAAAATGAGACAGTGAAGATAGATGTACACCAATAATTCATTTCACAGGCTATATTATTATTATTTTTTCCACGATACATGCCGGAATAATAACAAGGTGCTTGTTTAAAATGAAATGTTTTGACATTACGCAACACTGATTGCAGAAGACACCAATTCAGTGAAAAGGTATGAAGAGTTCAGTGGTATAACAGGATTGAAAAGAATGTAGGCAAGGCAAAGAGTGTTGAATATATTCATGCCAGTATACAAGCTATGGGATAACTTTATGGCAGAGTGCATTGCATTACTGAGAATGTCTAGGAGCACTATATCGCATGTAGCCTGTTACAAGCAGGGTAAGGGAAATTGCAGGGAAAGGTCTCAAAAGAAACTTCCTTTTGTGTGCGTACACACACACACACAAACACACAGAGGGGGGCAGGGAAACAGCAGCAGCAGCATCTCTATAGAAAGTTGGGCCACTTGCCTGTCTAGCACAGTGTAATGGCGTTATATTACAAATTCAGATTGCAACATGTATTTTGACACACATCTTTTTTAAAAAGAGAATTTATTTAGATATGAAATCTCCAAGGATGTAAATGAGACAGGTAAACAACTCTGCATTCCTTGAGCAACATAAGAAATCTCATGGGAGGCCCTTCTCCTTGATATCTTGCTTCTCAGATGTGTTGGAATTTCAACACACATACATCTGGAAAGATTTATCATGAAGAGGTTCCAAAACTTAAAATTTCACCATAACGAAGTGCACATGCCAAATCAATTTTAGTTCATTTGACAGCTCATCCTCCTTTTAGTAACTGAACTGGATATTAGGAAAGAAACTTCCTAATTCTATTTATGCATCTTTGCATTCTGCTTTGAACAAATACAACTAACAGTACAGAACAACTACTGAGTAACGGCTTATCAGTTCATTCTTGTCCTTTGTGAAAACATTCTCATTTTCTGATAAAATGCCTTATTTGTGCCACATTCACTTTTTAAACCTTCGGTTAGATTCAATGAAATGTAAGGCACAATAATAGAATACTGTACAGTGGTTCCTCGGGTTAAGAACTTAATTCGTTCTGGAGGTCTGTTCTTAACCTGAAACTGTTCTTAACCTGAAGCACCACTTTAGCTAATGGGGCCTCCTGCTGCCGCTGCACAATTTCTGTTCTCATCCTGAAGCAAAGTTCTTAACCCGAGGTATTATTTCTGGGTTAGCGGAGTCTGAAACCTGAAGCGTATGTAACCTGAGGTACCACTGTACTAAGACACCACAGTAGTTAAAAACTCTGTGCAAGAGTAACCACAGCCAGTGGCTCCTGACACCACCTTCACATTTATTCAGTACAGGATTCTGTGTATTGTGGCAGTAAGAAGAATTAAATAGAAAGAAAAATATTAGTAAGCATGTGCTCCAGGTGGAAGCAGTTACTGCAGCCAGAAAAAAGCAAAATGGGGGGGGGGGGAGAGAATGATTTGGACCAACTAATAATTAACAACCATGAATAGTCAAGAATTGAGTAATTCCAGTTAGGCACTATCTACAATGAACATTGTCTTATGCAACTGAAGTTGTGTTGCTTGGGTAGAGACAAGTTTTAAAGAGGGGTTAAAAAGGTCTGTATAATACGGACATAATTTTTGTACACTGCTATTTCATTTCAGTGTTAGGCATTATTCTCTTTTAGTTTTAAGCTGTTGAAATAGGTTAGTCTATATCTATTGCTGCATGGATACATTTTCTCTATTTACTGACATCATGATTATTTTTAAGTGTTCTTAATGTGGCTTTGATTAGTCATGTTTATTGTTCATTTGATAATTCTATGGAAAAGTGGCATGCAAGTAAGAAGATACTGATGACTGTTGGCAGCACATGCTTTCATTTTATAATCTCTGACCAAATAGGTTTTACAGGTTTTTGATGCACTATGGAAGTATTATGACCAGATGCAACCATGTGATGAATGGTGCCTGTTAGGCAAGAATGGTTCTCTCTGTCACCTTTAATTCTCTGAAAGGGCTATCTTTTCCTCTATCGCCTCTGCACTTTAGCTCTTTCTGTAAAATGGAAGACACCATAACGTTACCATAAAAAACCCATACACATACAAAGCTAATTTGGGAGCAGTGGGGAGGCAGTATTAATGAAAAAGAAAGTGAAATAAATGATGATTAAATGTCTTAGATAGTTACTGTTTTAGCTATGGCTTTATTGTCATTGATTTGCAACAAAAGCTCTAAAAATGTTTGTTTGCATCAAACATCCAGTTACCTAAATCCTTTAAACTTATTATTTTTTGCTAAATATTTGTTTCCCATAACCAAACTTTTGGTCCATTTGGAGATAAACAAACTATGTAACTCTGTTAACACTATGCTGGACCATGGCTTGTTTTCTGGCAGTGCAACAGCAGCAGCAGCACAGGAAGAGAAAAGTGCCCATGATTAGTGATACCGATTTCAAAAACATGTCGTGTGTCAACTTAAGGCTAACACGTTTTATTATGGCATAAGCTTTCATGGACTGGAGCCCAATTCCTGGCATGGCAACCCCTCTGAAAACTGACTTCAGTGTGAAGAACAGCACAATCCATATCCATTATGCACTTGGTGTTTGTTGGTTTGATTCCAATAGCCCCAATGACACAATTTTAATTACAGGAGACTAATCCACATAAGCTTAGCTGAACTGGTGTGTGCATTGGCTCAAAGCACCCATAGTCAATGCTTGAGAACTTCATTTGGAAATGGGGAAGCATGGGTGGTTTTCAACAAAGTTTTACTCATAAAACTGCCACTGAAATTAATAAGCTTAGATCCATTGATTTAAATGGGTCTACACTGAGTAAAACTTGCTGGATTCTCCCCCTTTGTGGGTAATCTACACCAGGCACTAGCTGTGTGACTGAATATGAACGTCTGCTTTGTGTAACTAAATTTTCTCGAAACGTAACAGGTTGGCCCTCAGACTTACCCTTCTGTGAACAGAAGGGCTCCTTGTGCTTAGAGAGAACTTGGATCCAGTAGAGGGCAGAGGGCCAATTTTCACTTCCTCCTGCAGCTTCCCACGCTGTTCTGGAGGGTCCCCCAATCTTCCTGAGCAACTTTTCAGGGGGCACAGTGGACTGGAAAGAGGAAGCAGCAGAAAACTGCAGCCCAACCTGCTGCATTTATTTATTACCCTTCTGGCTTGATGATACGCCAGGCATGATCATATTCAATCAAGAGAGCAAACCCCAAGACATATGTTCTTTTTAGAATCTGTAATAAAAAAGACACCACAAGACAAATGTAGTCATGTTTATTTTCCCTTCCAACTACCAGGGGTTTCCATTTTGCTCATGCAAAAAAACACACCAATTTGCTTAATTACTTTGATTAACAAGGGATTCTTTTGTAGTGTGGATCCTTGATTAAGGTAAGCAGTTGTGCACATTTTAATTGAATAAATTCCCAAACACATGCGGCCTAGCAAACCATGCACGGTGATTTAATTATCAGGTAAGGAAAATCATTTCCCAACCTTATGGAAATTTGAAAGAGAGTATGCCCAATTGAGAAAATGCTTCAGTTTTTATAGGCAAGGACTCCTGGCCATAGCAAAAGTATAGACATATTATGTAATACAGACATATTAGGCTGTCAGGCAGGAGTGGGGAGCCTTTGGCTCTCCAGATGTTGCTGAACTACAACGCCCATCATCCTTGGCCATTGTCCATGCTTCCTGGGGTAGAATGACTTGTAGTTCAGCGGCATCTAGAGCAGTCTTTCTCAACCTTGGGTCACCAGATGTTGTGGGACTACAATTCCCATTATCCTTAGCTAGCAGGACCAGTGGTTGGGGATGATGGGAGTTGTAGTCCAACACCTGCGGAGTCAAGGTTGAGAAACGCTGATTTAGATGGATAAAATTTCCCCACCACTGCTGTAAGTAATGAATGAGTATCTCAGAACATCACATCAATGGGAATGAATTCTCTCGTTAGCAGGAACCAAGTAATACTAAACCATAACAAAAAGTTGCTTAAGAATTTCTTGCATATTTCAAGTGTTCAAAGAACTTTACTTTTGTGCCGAAGAGGCACAAATGATACAGAGGGGCTACAGGGCTGTGCGTTTAGCTCTCCCCCCCCCCCCAATGTACACTTCATCTCCTTTCACATCAAGGATATTCAGGGATAAAGTGGGGAACCTTTTCTGTCCTGTGTCCCCCCCCCCAATGTAATATATTGCGAGAGCAGGATATATAGAAAACCCATACCAGTGGCTCTTCATAAGTTATCCCTCAACTTTGGAGGCAGAGAGAAGCTGTGTGGTACTCAAGGGCACAGCTAAACATTAGTGGCCCCACAGCCATTTAGTACAAATGTTGCTCCTTTAGATTGAGGAACACATGGATAGCATTGCAACTACTCTACAATACGTTATCACTACTGCTGCTACTAAAACTTATATACCACTCTGCAGAAAAAGTGCTGAAAGCAGTTGTTGAAGTAGACCCAATGTATGGTTCGAAGGTACCTGAAGCCACCATTTTGCTGAAGCAAATCAAGTCTGGGAAGCACATGTATGTTGCCTTCCTCACAGAAGAAAGGCAGGAGACTGATGTAAGAAAACAATGAAAACTAATCCCCTACTCCCTCACACAGTAAACAATTTTGTGACAGAGTGAGCAGGGCTTTGCAGTTCCTTCACTGCCATTAATCACGTGAGGGGAGGAACGCCTGAGGAGTACTACAGTACTATGAAGCGTTAATTGAGCTCAAAAGAAACAAACGGTCCCAAACACCACAGGCCAGGTAAATCCAACAGCAATCCAGTAAAATGCAGTGGACTAAAAACACAGCAATAAGGCTTAAAATTCAGTCAAGGTATATGCCCTCTGGAAAAGAGCAGCTTTTGCCTGCCTCTGAAAAAGCAGAAAGTGAGAGAAAAGTGTGGAAAAGTTAACCTTTCATACAGCAGGTGGAGGGAGGGCTGAGGAATCAGCAGGACTATCTATAAAGATTTGAACCAAGAACTTCCTCGGTCACAGCTCAATATTCTTTGCCGCTTAAGCTATGTAACCTCTTGACTTGTGGAACATAATTCTTTAATTCAAGCTTGTTTGTTTGTTTGTTCTGCTGATTTTAGCAAAGTGACAGTCATAGTTTAAAAGGGGTGGGATGTATCACTTTCGTACCTTTTGTGCTGCATATTTTCTAACATGCATTTCAGCGCATTTTCTAATATGGTGTCAAACAGCATTTTTATTTCCTTTGAAGCAGGAGGGTGGGAGTAGCTCCAATTCTTCTAGAGGACATTGCCCACTGAGTGAAGCATCCGTCTCCTCTGCCTCAGCTTTCTCTATTAGTAGCCTTCCTTATTTATCACCTAACTGGGGCCAGGAGAGGCCAATCTGAGCAGGTGGGGAAGGGAAGCGCAGGATTAGAGCAATTTATCACTGTTTGTCAGAGTTTGGCTGAACTGCACATTTGTATTACATGCCACGACTGTCTGCAGGGGTCAGACTCGGAACTCTTTCCTTTCCTATCTGAGCCCTGCAGCAATGGCATGACAATCTTCCAAGTCAAGATAAGAAGAATACAAGACAAGGAGCTTTGGCACAATTCCTTCCCCCCTCTAAATAGCCTCCCCCCCCACTGCACTATTTCAACAGCCGGGCAACATCAATAACTAGTTGATACCCGAATGTTACAGTTTTCTGAACGCACTGTTTAAAAGGATAAGTACGATTTCAAGAGGTGCTATTAAACTCGTGTCCTAAAAACATTTGCCCCCAGGAGTTAAGACACTGCAGTACTGATGTAATGCCAGGTTTAAGGGAATAATAGGGAGTGCTGCAACCCATTCTAAGCACTTAAATGCTGGAGCAGCAAATAAGTTTCCAGGGGCTTCGAAATCTTTTAAGAACTCAACCCACTGTCAATATACAAAAGACGCTAAGCAGAAGGGTCTCTGTGTTGGGACAATGCATGGCATGCTTAGGCTCCCAGCAAAAGTGGCCATGAAGGCAGGGACCCATCTTGTCTGAATAACTGAACGACTGGGGGAAGGGGAAGGAATCACTGGCAGCACTTCAACACACCGAAAAGTATGTGAGTTGAAGGTGGGTGATCACACGGGGGGGGGGGGGGAATCACTGCCAGCTGGCGGGCCAGACGCCCTGCAAGCCATTTTGACAGGCCACACTCCTGTCAATCACAGCTTTGCTACTACAGTACTGTACCTACAATCAGGCACTGGTGATCAGCTGCATCTTTAACTGCCCTGCACAGATGAGAAATAAAAGTCCACAAAATCAGTTCCAAAATTAGGATGGCTGACATGAAAGCCAGGACTCCACATATTTGCAGCCACCCAAGCCAAAGAAAAATACAGTGCCATGTCATTCCCTTTCTGCTCAGAAACGGAAATTGCTTTTGCTCCTGATCTGAGAAGACAGTCACAGCTGCCCTGAACCGGGAAGAGTAAAAAAGCCAGGGCATTTCTTCACCATTTTATTTTATTTTATTTATATTCTGCTTTCCCTCCAAGGAGCTCAAGGTGGCATGTATGGGGCTTCCTCTTTTATCTTCACAACAACTGTGAGGTAGGTTAGGCTAAGACACAGTGGTTTGAATCATTTGGCATCACTGAGTTTTCCCTGTAGCCGAGCTTTCCCTGTATTATTGCTGAAGTGACTAACCTGTGGCCCTCCAGATATTGCTGAACTACAATCCTATCAGCCCCAGCTAGCATGACCAGATGGCCAGGGATTGTGGGAATTGTAGTTCTGCAAGATCTGGAGGGCTACTGGTTGGCTATTTCAGGCAGGGCTCAATCACACACTCCCTGAGCAATGGCAAGATAAATAGTCAACACAAGCACATTTTTCATTAAATAGAATCAGATCAGTCAAGCTCTCCTTATTTCTCTCGTCCCACTACTATGGGTTATTAAGAGAACTATGGTTTTAAAACTACATTGTCAGAAGTAGCCTTTTGGGGCCTTATAATTTGTCAAGTTTTGTCTAGATTTAAGACATTTTAACTTTTTTTTTGTTTTTAAGAAACAGTCTTCCACCAACCCCCAGTGGTGGTTTTAGCATCCTCTGAGAGATAATGATCACCTTCAAGCTTTGGTGCTATTATTAACATTCACATAGCAGGACACACATTAGGAAGAAAAGGAAGTCATTTGAGTTGACACTTTCACCCAGAGATGCAATAAATCTCTCTTAAATACTGTTGGGGATTTTACAAGAATGCCATAAAAAACCCCAGCAGCAGCAATTTCCAAACAATTCTGTTCTCTCCTGCTGTCCAATTCTAAAACATAATTTAAAGGCTTTTTTTCCAGCAAGAGGTGTGGATATGCTTTCTTTCCTTTCCTTTTTTCCAAGCAAATTATCAGGCAGAGCTATTTTTTAAAGTTTAAATAATGAATAATTATACGGCACTGGTTTTCACAGGATTTCAAACAGAAATAATGGCAATAATTGTTATGGTTTAACTAATGGGCACTTTAAATTTCCACTGCATGAATTATAAACAGAAGTTTTTATATTTATAATTCATTCCATTTAGAAAATGGGCAGATAAGCTGCAGGTCCTCAGGTGTTCAAAATCCTTTCCCCAGCCATAACATCAGGCATTAAACAAGCATGTCAGTGCTATGATTCAAACATGTTTGCCTGGATTTTCCTGGTGCCTAGTTATCCCACATTTGAGTAAATTATGCAACTTCTCATTTTCCCATTGTAGTCAATGCTTTCCATTTCACATGCATGGTACAACTCACTTGTACCACCACTTAGCACTTTATCTTGCACTCTGTTCTATCATGCAATTAAGCTAATGGTGAGAAGATACAAACAGACAGAAGGAAGTACTACTTTTAACAGCATATAATTTATTGTACACACAGGTCTTGCTATCAAAATGCAATGCTTTCTCAGGAAATTGTTTGTTAGGCAAGTGTTCACATAATGAGTTTATGATTTCCACTGATTCCTATGGTGAAATTTCTAATGTGTTCCTGACCATAGAATTTTGACCCCAAATTTACAGAAAACCCTGGGAAACCCTCTGAAACCTTGCAAAAGGCATGATTTCTGGTGAAATACGTGCCATGAATCTGTGAAGCACAAAAAATTAAGGGTTGTTTAAGGCTGCTTAATTGTTTACAGTCCTACATGCTGGTACAGCTGTTTGGATATCTGAATCTGTGGTGTGTGTAGTGAGGTTTGAGTACTAGTTGCTCATGTTACAATAAGCAAATTTTTGTATGAGATTTGGATAGCAGGACCTGCATGCATTTGCTACCCCAAGACGTAATGACAACCCTAAGATACAAGGATAAGTTTAAAAAGGAATTGGACAAGCTCATGGTGGATACGGCTATCAAGTGCTACCAATCACAAGGGCTATACACTACCACCAAGATCAAAGACTAGATGCCTTTGAATATCAGCTGCAGGGAAACATGCACCCCTGGCTATCAGAGGTGCTGCTGGTAATCAATAGGATGGGTTGGTTAATTTATGGTTCTCCAAATGCTGATGAACTACAACTCCCTTTAACCCAGACCATTGGCCCTGCCGGCTGAAACTGATAGGAGTGAGGGTCCATCAACATTTGGATGGCCAAAGGTTAGCCAACCCTGCTGTAGGATATCAAAATTGCATTACTCTGAATTAAGAAGTATTAAGAACATATTGGCATTCATTAATGTCTTCAGTTGGTTTGTTTAAATATAATGTGCCATGCAACATCCAACCTGGATAGGAACCTCACCACTGGGAGAGAAGTCCCAAACCCAAACAAAATAAATATGTAGGAGAAAAATAATAAAGAAAGCTAGGCAGCAATGGAAGCAAGTAACTTGACATTTTTACAAATGTGCACAGTCGTAAGAATTATAGACATTTATTTGGCAAGAGTATCGTTATTTTTACTTACATATTGGAATTATCACAATAATTACTTCTGCTGTTCATAAACATGTATTGTCTATGAACAGAGAAAGGTGTTACAAATAGTTCTTTCTTAAAAATCAAGAAAACCTAAAACAAAATCACAGCTAATAAATGTGATTTATTACCACTGGATGCAGAAATATTAAGGAGAGGGGTGCAATATAATCAGTGGTCTGGTTATGTCACAATAGTGTGTTCAAGCTAGAAAAGAGGATCACCTTCTGAAGTAATGAAAATCCAATGATCATTATGCTATAATCAGGTTTACTTTAGGCATTTGTTCCTTCAGTCAGGGTATTCACCCATGTGTTGTCCTGTTTACTATGATGATATTCATTTCTGTTAAGTCCTGTCATCTTTTTGATGGCTTAATGTGGTGTAATTATCAGAAAGGGTACATATGAGGCATCAATAATACAGTCCTGAAAGCATTTGCAATGAATACATGGGAAATTCTCTCCTTGCCTCCTTCCATTTAGGGGGATGAAAAACAGCAATGCATACAGGCTCTATCTACATCTTCCCGCACTCTCCATTTATTTTCAATGGTCTGCTCATTAGAGTCATTAGGAAAGCAGAGTGAAAGAAGTCACACTGACTATGCACAGCACTAGTCAGAGATGAGATAAGCATTCAGTGTTCTTGTAGGATATAGTTTAGAGTCTTAGCAGGTTTGGGGCTTAAGCAGAAGGCTTCACAAGATCTAGGGTACGTCAGATGCAGGGAGACAGGTCTGAGAAAGGGGTCTGTAGCGGAGTCTGTAGTGTGTTTTACTTCCAAGTCTATAATTCTCAGTTAATATATAGACAGAAGCCAAATAAGAATTCTACTGACTTCACCATTAACTCTTCTGGAATAAATCATTTGAGGGATTGAAGCGTGTTTCTCATACAGTCTAGAAAGGACACATAAAGACACACAGTTTCTTAAAATGAGATGCAATGGTGTCCTGGAACTGGATACCCTCAGAATAATAAAGTACCAGAAAGCAGCAGCACAATTTCCATATTTAAACTATGCTTTCTTTTACTCTCCATTTCTCTGTAGTGTTCCTTTAATGGCTCTGTGTGGAGCTGGAGGGCAACCATTTCAGAGATGGCCCTGAGGGAAGGCCACTTGCAAACTGTCCTTCGCCTTGTTACCACTCATTCCTAGTTAGTCTAAACTGGGTAGACAGTGAACTTCCAAATGATTATGACTTACCTATCCAGGAATAGGACACCTTCCAGTTCAGCTCCCCAGTCAAACCATCTCCCCCCACCTTACCAGCCATTACTTAAACCAGGGGTAGATAGCATGTGATCCTTTGGTTTTTACTCAACTCCTAGCTCCCAATAGCCCAGTCAACATGGCCAATAGTCAAGGATGATGGGAGCTTTGGTCCTGTAGCATCTGCAGGATAAGGTTAGCTACCCTAAACACAATATGGATGCGGGGTCAAAATTGATGTGGAGGCAGGCAATCCTACTGTCAAAGTGGCTGGCAAACAAGTCACAGTGGGCTTCCTAAAATTCTAAATCTACATTCCCTGAATCAGTCCATTACCCCTGTAAGGGGGTGGGGATTGGAGCCATAAGTTCAAAGTTCACCAGGAACTTGACTGACCATGACAATGGGGTGATATCCCATCCCCCAGCTCATCATGGAGTCCTGAGCCAGAATACTAGAGGCAGACTCATCATGCAAGTTGAATTACTCCAACACTGCCCTCCAAAACTTTTTCCATCAGTTTGGTAAGAGAAGCTGCTGACAGCAGCATTGACAGTACATCACAGGAACCCTAGTTTCCTGTCTCCTGGGCCTGATACCAGGTGCAGGTCCTCAAAGTTAGCTCCAAGACAGAGAGGTTTCCTCTTAATGGAGATGGAAGTCCTGTGGACCACAGTCATGCCCCACCCCACAGTCTATGAGTATCTGGATGGGCACAGCGGGGTCAAATATGTCTCAGTAATACACCCCAGATCTTTCCTTCCAACTATGATTCTATGAATCTATGATATGCCAATTTGGCATTAAACACCAAGACACATAGGCTGGTGGTCAAAAGCAACTAGGAACCCAACCACAGAAGGGGTGGGAGCAAGGAACAATGTGTAAATAAGCCTTGCTCTCTCCTTCCATGGTGACTTATCACATCCGTGTGTATCCCCTGAACATGTTCACTGAAACTGAGGTGGCATCACCAATGTCCCACCCTTGCCAAACAGCTGCTCCCATGCACATAATGTAAACAACAGACCCTCCCCCTGACAAAAAAATATCTACTACAATCAGCCAATTATCCCAGTCCCGACCACACAAAAGCACATGTGCTCCAACCTTGGCTCACACCCAGGAAAGGCCAACCTTCTGCCAATTACAGACTCCCACTCTGAGGACATCTGGCAACTTTCTTCTGTCAGACAATTCACTGCAAAGGTTCCCACCCTGTGCAGGAGAAACACATGCTTTAAACCTACCCAACCATCATGGTTGAAACTGGAAGGGGATTCACAAGCCTGCTTTCCCCTTCCCACAGACTCCCTTTGGTGTCACCAGTGCCAAGGCAAGCCTGCTTCCCAAGAGTACCAGCTTTTTATGCCCCCTGATGCAAGAGACTCTGCCAAGGGCAGCATATAAGAAGAGCCTGCTGGATCATGCCAATGGCCCATCAAATCAAGACTTCTGTTCTCACAGTAGCCAACCAGATGCTTGTGTCCGCAAGCAAGACCCATGAGCAGGAGCTGTCTTCCCTTCTGTGGCTTCCAGCAACTGATAAAGTTGTTATCTCAGGCAGAGAAGAAAGAAGTGTCTCAGTTCTTCCAGCATTTACAGGGAACCTTAGATATCTCAGGTAGCTGTGATTCCTGCACAGCAGGGGGTTGGACTACATGACACTTTTGGTTACTTCCAGCTTTAGAATTCCATTATTCTAGGATCAGCAGCCCAGGGAATGAACAAAAGCACACATATGGTCAAGTCCTCACTCCTTGGGCAGATCTTCTCTAGTCCCACCATGTTATAGCTATTCTTAAAATGACAGGCCTTCTATGTGGAAGTTCATGTCACAGTCTGTTAACAAGAATTCTGAGTAACACTGAAGTTGTAACACCGGCTGTAAGAACAGTGTTGTGAAACTGCAAATCCCTCCAGAATGAACTGGGTCTATTATTACCTGACACGAGGGCTGGCAAGCTGAGGGAAATAAAACAGCAGGATAATTTTAGCTCAGAATCCACATTTCAAACAAAAAGAACATGTTCTCGGCTAGAATGGGATAACATACTTTTATGCAACAGAATATTTAACCTTTTACACCATACCAGATTGGTAATCTATGATACTCACCATCCTAAGTGTTTTGGATGACAGAATTTGGATGCAATGGTAAACCATGGTTTTAGCATTACAACAATGAGCCTTAGGCTTGTGTGCTCCCATTTACCTCTCTTCTGGTGAAGTCAGAACAAGGGGTATCAGAATTTCTGTTTCTATTTTATATTATAGCTAAAGGTGGTCCAGAACAGGATTGGTGAGCTTGTGGCCCTCCAGATGTTGATGGACTACAACTCCCATCATCCCTGACCATCGGCCATGGTGGCTGGGGTTAATTAAGGACGTGAAGTCCAACAACATCTGGATGGCTACAGGTTCTCCATTCCTAGTTTAGCAAGTCAGCCTAACGCAGAAGTGTGATTAATCTTAACTTTGGTTAGGTAAAACAAGCCCCATATCTATTCAGACTGGCAGCAGCTCTTCAAAGTCTCAGACAGAAGTATTTCTCATCACCTGAGTCCCTGATGATGATAGGGATTGAAAAAGGTAAAGTAACAGGAAAATGAGTGAGCAAATACACTGGGTGGAATCCAACTGGTGCCCTTGTGTTCAGAAAGGGACTTTTGATCCAATGGACACCAGTGCTAATAAAAGGAGGATATGAGGTTTTTGTTAATTCACCTTCTTCCTGTGGCCCCCACACAACACCACCTTTCTTCTAGAGGGCTCCCAATTTTGTGGGGTCCATTTGGGGGTTGCAAAGGAGAGTGAGAATAATCTGGAAGGTACCAGTTTGGGGAAGGTAAAAGGGTACTTGTCATCTTTTCTACTATCCCTATTGAATAGGGAGCAATGAGGCCATACAGCAGTTCTATGATACAACATAAAAATTTTCAGTGACTAGATATGAGAGGTTGTTGAGAGCTGGGTTGAGGAGTTAAAAAAAAATATAAAATAGCCACAAGAATTCAGTGCCCTTTTTCAGTACAAATCAGCCAACTGTTGGTCCCAATACATGGAATCACAGCAAAACAGACCCATTTGATTTTCAGTTGCTTGGATGATACTCCTCTGCCTCTTAACAGCATAGATGTTGAAATATATATTAAATTATATCCTGGTTCACTCTTATACTGCTTGTTACAAATTCAGTTTCTCTCTCTCTTTCTCTTAGCAGGGTTCCAATGCTCCCTCTCCTACATGACACTAAAAGATCTTTCTTTGTTCCTAGGTAAAGGTAAAGGGACCCCTGACCATTAGGTCCAGTCGTGACCGACTCTGGGGTTGCGGCGCTCATCTTGCTTTATTGGCCGAGGGAGCCGGCCTACAGCTTCTGGGTCATGTGGCCAGCATGACTAAGCCGCTTCTGGCGAACCAGAGCAGCGCACGGAAACGCCATTTACCTTCCCACCAGAGTGGTACCTATTTATCTACTTGCACTTTGACGTGCTTTCGAACTGCTAGGTTGGCAGGAGCAGGGACTGAGCAACGGGAGCTCACCCCGTCGCGGGGATTCGAACCGCCGACCTTCTGATCAGCAAGTCCTAGGCTCTGTGGTTTAACCCACAGCGCCACCCTAGTAGATAAATATTTATCAGACACCTGGAGAGCAGAGTATGTTGAGGTTGAAATTAGCCAGATAATAGGTCACATTTTGGCATTTTTATCTTCATTTGCAAATAACTATTTTCTTTGATTTTGCCACAGACGCACACAACCATTGCATAGTTCTATATGCAAACATCTAACCTATTCCTTCCTTTTTAATTTTATGCAGTTTCCATATGGGATGGAAAACACACACACACACACACCATATAGTAAGTCTAAGTTAATGTGTAAAAAACAGTTCACTGATCATGAGAAAATAAATATATATTTTAAACACTAAAAGCACTCAGTATTATTATTTTTACAGGAGAAGGTCAAACACATAAACAAAAGCTATTACGGATGTTAATACAAGAGGCATATAGAACCTAGATTCTGTTTACGTAACAAGAATTTCATCCTTCCAGAGCCCTTTCAGAAGAAAGCAAGTTGGTTCAATGTAACACAACATGAAAATCCCAAAAGCCAGAAAGGTGGGATTCAACTAAGTTTTACTCAGAATAGGCCCATTTAAATTAATGAACATGACTAAGTTAGGGCCATTCAATTCAATAGGTCTACTCGAAATAAAACTTAAGTTGAATACCACCTTTTGCAGCTACTCTTAAGTTACCTAGTCCCAATCCATCAGCAGGCTATCCTGCTCTCTGCACAGCAGAACTGTGCTGAAGTGTGGGTTAACAATCTTTCAACAGCCTAGCCTGCTCAGCATTGTTTAAAAAAGATTATGTACACCCTGGTGCTGGAATGCGGGAAATGCTCTGTGTAGAATTAAGCTGAACAAAACAAAGGAACGGAAAGGCAATTGCAAAACAAGAGAGCAATGCAGAAGCAGAGGGAGTGTATTTATGCTGGAATACTATGCAAGTGCTTTTACACTGAATTGATACAGCAGGAACATTCAGCTACTAAACCTTTTCTTCTTACAAGGAAATGATGGGGAAGAGGATGAGACATAACACTGACAGCCCTCTGACACTGTTTGGGTCCTTGGAGGGGAAAAAATGCAAGGTTCCCATATCTTCTGCTACATTTGTGAGAAAGATGCCAGAGTCCCTTGAGAAGTAAAACTGCTTATTTACCGGACAATAAAGAGTTCAGCTAGGAAAAGGCTTGGAATTTACACTCTGCTCTTTTGGAATATTCAGCCTTTGAAAATTCACTCATCAATAGGTTTAACGTTTCCACAATGTTAGCCTTTAGGATGATTTATAGGCAATGTTCCACCTTTTTTGAAGGAGCATCTCCACCCGCATCATTCTACCCAGACACTGAGGCCAGCGCCGAGGGCCTCCTGGCAGTTCCCTCACTGCAACAAGCCAAGTTACAGGGAACCAGGCAGAGGGCCTTCTCAGTAGTGGCACCCACCCTGTGGAATGCCCTCCCACCAGATGTCATGGAAATAAGCAACTATCTGACTTTTAGAAGACATCTGAAGGCAACCCTGTTTAGGGAAGCTTTTAATGTTTGATGTACTATTGTATTTTAATATTTTGATGGAAGCTTCCCAGAGTGGCTGGGGAAGCCCAGCCAGATGGGCAGGGTATAAATAAAAATAAAAATAAAAACAAAAATTTATTATTACTAATTTCCTGTTAAGCTTGAAGTCCAACTCCTGCTAATGTGGAAGGAGATGTGCACATCACTTGCACCTCTTTTAGCTTCCATTGTAACATGGGGAAGGAGGGCTGAAAAGTTTCTCTTGCAGGCTGGCCTGTAAATCTGCAAACTGGGGACAAACAGTTGAACCGAAGGCAAACTGCATACTGTATTTTTCGCTCTATAAGACGCACCTAGTTTTTAGAGGAGGAAAACAAGAAACAAGAAAGCAACGCAAAGCCTCCTGAGCAAAGAGGGAGGAGCACTCCGGCTGCGCTCAAGAGGCTTTGTGAGGCTATGTCTGAAGCCAGGAGAACAAGAGGGATCGGTGCGCACCGATCCCTCTTGCTCTTCTGGCTTCAGTGAAAGCAACGCAAAGCCTCCTGAGCGAAGAGGGAGGAGCGCTCCCTCTGCGCTTAAGAGGCTTTGCGTGGCTATCCCTGAAGCCAGAAGAGCAAGAGGGATCCACCGATCCCTCTTGCTCTTTTGGCTTCAGCGATAGCTGCGCAGCCTGCATTCACTCCATAAGACGCACACACATTTCCCCTTACTTTTTAGGAGGGGAAAAGTGCATCTTATGGAACGAAAAATACAGTAATTGGCTGAATAGTACCATTTTAGGTGAAACCTATGAGTGCTGGCTGCATTTTTAGTGGAGGACCCCGACATCTTTAACTCCATGGGTATTCAAATAAGCAAAAACTAAAATATATCTACATTTTCAGCTATTTTTAATTAAAGTCCTTTATGTGGTTTTATAATTGTGTTCTTTTTAAAAAAGAAAAATCAAAATAGAAATATTAGCATAACAACTCAAGTCCATACACATAGGCTATATGGAAGTAAACCTTAAATTAGACGTATTTTATAGTCAAAGTTACCAGAAGTCATATTTTCAACCCAATTTTCCACTTTCCCATATTGAGGAATAAGTATTTTTGTAAAATCCAAACTCTTCGTTTAAGTTTAGTTGGCAATATTTCCTAGATCCACAGCCCTTATTTATAATCAAGGAAATGGTGTTCTATTTTAAAGTATGGTTTACTTATCTCAACAGTGTTTACATTTGCTTATCACCAGCATATTAAGTCACTCTGAATGGACCATACCAATACCTAATCTTAAGATTCTTTGCATTCCTGTAATGCAGCTCGTCTGTGATTCTGGAATGGGCTTGCTCTCTGAAGTCTTAAGTGGTGCCTCTCTCCTGAACTGACTCGACTAACAATTTTTTAAAAATTATGACTAGCAGAATGCAATACCTGGGGATGGTGCGAGATCAGTTTGAATACACCCCCACCCTTTCCAAACACACGACCTTCTACTAAAGAGGTCAGGGTGAGTACCAGCACAATTCTAAACATGGCTACATCAGAAGCAAGTCCCACTGAATTCAGCTTGACATACTCTCAGGTAAGAAGATATAGGACTGCAACCTATAAGTACTTTACTGGTCAGATACCCATTCTTTTAAAGAAAGGGAAAAACAACAAGCTCCCTTCACATTCTCTAGCTGCAAAATTGGAGCTGGCAAGGGAAACTGGGGATTGTTCCTGTCTTCACAATAGGGTGCAAAGTGTGGCAAGAGTATTAATGGATCAGATTGTTCTCCCATTCACACCTACATGCGAACCTGTCACAAATGCTCAAAGAAGTACAACTTTTGGCAGAGGTTACTGCACTATGGTCATGCTCCTGCCAATTTAGAAAGGTTTGGGGGAATGAGCAAGAACAGCAAATGTCACTATATTTATAATACTTATATTTACACAAAATGGCAGACAGTGAGGAAAGTGGTTTTGTGGCTTGAAGTCCTAATGCACAAATATAAAACGGCAAGATGGCTAGTTGTTACAAGTTACACAGGTTACTCAAATCCACATTGCTTAAATGGGCCAGATGGGCGGGGTATTATTACTACTGCTACTACTATAATACTTAAGCACGACAGTCCCTCCACAAAGATAGACGGAGACTGAGAAACTGCGTAGGGAACCAATAGTTGCAACCGAAGTCCATATGCAATGTGTGGAGGAGAAAAGAGTGCTTAGATGCAAATGACTGAAGTTTGGGTATTGCAAGGTTGAAAGCCTTTGAGGCCCAGGAAATAAGGAATAAGGGAAATAAGGAAAGGTAGAGATAGGAGTATTCCAGCTGAACTATTTAAAATGTTAAAAGATGATGCTGTTAAGGTGCTACACTCAATATGCCAGCAAGTTTGGAAAACTCAGCAGTGGCCAGAGGATTGGAGAAGATCAGTCTACATCCCAATCCCAAAGAAGGGCAGTGCCAAAGAATGCTCCAACTACCGCACAACTGCACTCATTTCACATGATAGCAAGGTTATGCTTAAAATTCTACAAGGAAGGCTCAAGCAGTATGTGGACCGAGAACTCCCAGAAGTGCAAGCTGGATTTAGAAGAGGCAGAGGAACCAGAGACCAAATTGCAAACATGCGCTGGATTATGGAGAAAGCTAGAGAGTTCCAGAAAGACATCTACTTCTGCTTCATTGACTATGCAAAAGCCTTTGACTGTGTCGACCACAGCAAACTATGGCAAGTTCTTAAAGAAATGGGAGTGCCTGATCATCTCATCTGTCTCCTGAAAAATCTCTATGTGGGACAAGAAGCTACAGTTAGAACAGGATATGGAACAACTGATTGGTTCAAAATTAGGAAAGGAGTACGACAAGACTGTATATTGTCTCCCTGCTTATTTAACTTATATGCAGAATTCATCATGCGAAAGGCTGGGCTGGATGAATCCGAAGCCGGAATTAAGATTGCCGGAAGAAATATCAACAACCTCAGATATGCAGATGACACAACCTTGATGGCAGAAAGTGAGGAGGAATTAAAGAACCTTTTATTGAGGGTGAAAGAGGAGAGCACAAAATATGGTCTGAAGCTCAACATCAAAAAACGAAGATGATGGCCACTGGTCCCATCACCTCCTGGCAAATAGAAGGGGAAGAAATGGAGGCAGTGAGAGATTTTACTTTCTTGGGCTCCATGATCACTGCAGATGGTGACAGCAGTCACGAAATTAAAAGACGCCTGCTTCTTGGGAGAAAAGCAATGACAAACCTAGACAGCATCTTAAAAGTAGAGACATCACCTTGCCAACAAAGGTCCGTATAGTAAAAGCTATGGTTTTCCCAGTAGTGATGTATGGAAGTGAGAGCTGGACCATAAAGAAGGCTGATCGCCGAAGAATTGATGCTTTTGAATTATGGTGCTGGAGGAGACTCTTGAGAGTCCCATGGACTGCAAGAAGAACAAACCTTTCCATTCTGAAGGAAATCAGCCCTGAGTGCTCACTGGAAGGACAGATCATGAAGCTGAGGCTCCAATACTTTGGCCACCTCATGAGAAGAGAAGACTCCCTGGAAAAGACCCTGATGTTGGGAAAGATGGAGGGCACAAGGAGAAGGGGACGACAGAGGATGAGATGGTTGGATGGTGTTCTTGAAGCTACCAGCATGAGTTTGATCAAACTGCGGGAGGCAGTGGAGGACAGAAGTGCCTGGCGTGCTCTGGTCCATGGGGTCATGAAGAGTCGGACACGACTAAACGACTATAACAACAACAACAACAAGAGATAGAAGGGAGAAACAAGATTTGTCCAGAGAAAGGAAGGACAGAGTGGTTTCCTGACTTTCACTGTAGGTTGCCATGGCCGAGTCTGAGGTTCCTAGCATTGGTTCAATTGATTTTGGTACTCTGTCCTCAGCAAACTACACTGACAGCTTATAAATCACCTCCACTTTCTGAAAGGGCACCCAATGGTGTCAAGTGGATAACACTGACATGCATTTCCTACAAGGATCCTGACTAATCTGAAGAAATTACAAAACACTGCTTAAGAGGCAGAAAGAGGAGATAAGGAATCTAACTAAGGAAGTCACGTTGTTTCTACAGCCATTCACAGGATCAGGGCCGTTTTGAAAAACAGAGGAGCATGGAGCATGCTCCTGGAGGAATAAAAGTATTTCACATGTGGAGTAATCCATGGGGCAGAAGCTGCTGGAGGAGATATCCAGTTATAGGAATGAAGCATCCTGGCAAGGCTTTAGCTCTAAGACACAAAGCGTGATTAATGTTCGTTCTGGACTGAAGGTATATTGAATTGCAATTAACATAAGCACTGAATTACTATCAGACATATCAATACAAACTTCCCACAAGGGGATCACAAGAGCTCTCTGGCAATTCAGAATTCACAGCCAGGTGACTGAGTTGTCTCTTGTGGGAAAATATGTCGAAGCTTCCCAGGACGTGAACATTTTTAGATTACCAGTGGGAAAGGCTTGTTGAAGGAGTAAAGATGTATGTTTGCATTAGATTCTTTGAGGGAAGCTATGACTGTTTAAAGTGGTATGATACTACTTCAAATGTATGGTGCAGTTGGGGCCTTACGCTGCCATCTGCCCAGTGTGTCAAGAGACTTTCTTAAGGGTAGTATCAATTTAAGCATTTTGCAAATAACTAATTTCATACAAATTGTGGTACTCCTAAACTGTACAGGTCTTGAAACACTCACTACAGCTTATCTTGAGATTTCTGCCAACTTCAACACCTTTCTAAAAGCAGAACAGCATACACTCAGGCCACACAGAACTGAGAGAAGAGGAACATGAATTCCACATTTTTGCATATTCTAACTTAGTTCAGAGAGAAGGTTCTGAACCTTACACATCCTACTGGTGACTGGGGCTGGGTGTGTTTTTAACAGTGTATGTGTGTGCGTGTGTATGCACCCACGCACACGTTTATGTGCAAATTCTTTGGTTGCATCAGAACAAAATCACACACAACTACCACGTCAATAGGATCTTCATACTGATGTGATTCATTTGCAAGGCTTCTAATTCTCTAACATTCTTTCTGCAGAACCTACAATTCTTGCTTTCGCCTACTGGAAATACATGCAACTGGGAAATCACTTATTTGTGTTATGGGGTCAGGAAATCACATAGTCGTCTCTCTCCCCACCCCCCACCCCTTACTTCTTCTGGATGCCTGGAGATTCTGGATTTCTGGAGAGAAACACTCTCTCCAGAGGCATGTATAAGGAAGGGCATCAGACTCTCTTCCATATTCCTTCCATGACTGGTCTAAGGGGAGTTGTGTTCTTGAAAAAGCAGCGCCAAAGCGCAAATGTTTAAATCTTCCCCCCAAGCATGCCTCCTGATCCTAGCTGCTCAACCGAGGAAACTGTATTTTTGGAGTGAACGATTTAGATCAGAAACTGAACATTGTGGGGTGGGGGTGAGGAGAATGATTTAACAATTGCACTACTGTACTACCTCAGTGATTCAATTAGCACCCCACCCTCCAAAGAAAAAAATCCATTTAGTAGAGAAAAGTTAGAAACCTAGGATTACCGCCTGCTTCAAATTTCACATAAGCCACAAACTCTCTTGCCTTAGGCAAACCACTTTCACCTTCCCTATAATATAGGAATGAGATTTGCCTACCCCTACAAAGATATTGTTAAGGATTGGTGAGATAATATACATAAAGCACTCTGAACAATTCAAAAGCTCTACATAAATTGTAAACCTTTGTTATTATGATAATTCAAAGCCCTTAATGTGTAGTCCTGTCTTCCACAGATGATCCTAACAAAATTGGCTATCTATGATAAACCTACCATGGAGTCCAAATAAGAGATTTTTCTTCCCTGTGTTTCTCAAGTTCAACTATTTTTCATGAAGGAACAAAACTATGAGCATGCTTAAAAGGAGAATGGTGACAGCAGGACAAGGAAAGTTAATAATAATAATATTCCAAATTGTCATGTCTATCGCTGTGTCATTACATAAGACTATGTCCTATATACCTAGACCTTTCTTTCTAAAAATAAAATAATATATTTCAACCAACTCATTAGGAACAGGTAATAATAGAGAATTTCTGTTCATTATCTGCTAGACATTTCTCATTCTGAGCAATAATTACATGGTTTGGTTAAAAGAAAAGTGCAACTGTTTTAGACAGAGCACAAAGGAAATTAGGCATTTAAAAAGTATATTACAGGCAGGGGTGAGGTGGTGTCAAATCAAGATGTCAAATTATGGAAACTGGAGCTTAGCCTTCCCTCAGAAAATGGCTCAAAAACCTGTTCCGTGTTCAGTGCTCATGGAAAGAGACAGAGGCAACCATAAAGGGAGTCTGCAAACATAGGTGTATGATGCAGATGGATGGTCTTTATTAGCAAATGGACTTCAAGAAATTTGAGAGATTCAAAAATAGTTCAAAATGTTTGTACTTAAGCCTTAGCAGATGGTCATGATGTGATGAGTAGGGATGGGTGATATGGGGTTTTCAACATTGCAATATATCACCGGCTAAACATTGTGATATATTGATATGAGGATGGAACTATGTAGAGGTGAAGATGCGCATGACTACTTTGCTTTGCGTAGCAAATGTCAGAAAGCATGGCTTCATAGGCTGTCAGGGACTGGACTGAACAGGAGGAATGGGAAATGAGCCCTTCTTGGTCTGATCGGCTCCTCTCAGAAGAGGAAGAGGAATGGTAAGTTTCGCCTCCCCCCAGTCTCCAGCAGTTTCAGCAGAGAGGGAGACAGGAATGATGTACAGATGAATGAGGAAATCCCAAGTTACAAGATAGTGGTGGTGGTGGAGGAGGGGGAAGTTAGAGAGCAGACAGCAGAGACCTCCCTGGAGAGTATGGGAGACCCTCCTAGTCCAAAGGCACATCCCTTTCAAGAACAGAGAATACAGAGGGATGTGACTCCTGTGACTTCCTGTAGGTTTCCAGGATGCTGCGGGAGACAGAAGAGGAGGGACTCAGAGTAGCCAATGTCTCCTATGCGTGGAGACAAGGATCTTTTGTTTTGCAACCAGATGACTGAATAAAAAGCCATAAAATACGAACTCTTTTTCTTCTTGCCTCTGAGGCTACCGGGGGGGGGGGGGGAGAGGATAATCCACACCTGACATAGGCAGTTAGTTCTCTTTAGCAAGATGCAGGCCTTTTCCCTTCTTCTCAAGTGGCCCGTGCTTTGGTACACAAGAGTTGTATGAACAACTCAAGATCAGCCTGCAATTTGTATATTTCATAATGGTATAATGTTAACTGAAAATATGCATTTCTGCAAGATTTAGAACTTAATGTAGTTAATGTAGTAGCTAATGTTTCTCAGTGACTGAGGTTCAGAGCCTTTTTAGTTCTACCATCACAGTAGTCAATGTGGCAGTACTGTGGTACCTCGGGTTACATACGCTTCAGGTTAAATACGCTTCAGGTTACAGACTCTGCTAACCCAGAAATAGTGCTTCAGGTTAAGAACTTTGCTTCAGGATGAGAACAGAAATCATGCTCCAGCGGCGCGGCGGCAGTGGGACGCCCCATTAGCTAAAGTGGTGCTTCAGGTTAAGAATGGACCTCCGGAACGAATTAAGTACTTAACCCGAGGTACCACTGTAACTCCATTCCATACTCATAAATAAAAATAAATTGAAATCTGCTCTGTTGAGCTTGAATATCCAGCCCCTAACCTCTATCGTCTATATCTCTATGGTTTTGCCAATGCATGCCATGCTGCTATGTTTTGGTTTGGTCTCAAATAAAAATTTTATTAAATCTTTTTGTTTAAAGGATACAAGAAGGTAAATCTGAAGGGCACATTCAGTAAGAATGTGCAATACCTTTGCTGAATCATTGTACACTTGGCAAGCTGTTTTACAAGTAGGGGGTCACAGTTGGGAAAGGAAGCTTACCGCTCCCCTCCCAAGATGCAACCCCTCCCACTTTCTGGATTAGAATAATAGAATCTTAGAGTTGGAAGGGACCCAAGGGTCATCTAGTCCAACCCCCTGCAATGCAGGAATCTCAACTAAAGCCTCCATGACAGATGGCCATCTAGCCTCTATGGGAACACCTCTCTTCTGTTCGAAGGCTTGTTAAGCCTAATCGTATTTTACTTAAGGCTGATTTCAAAAGCCCAATTGTGGTACGGGGCAGTGATGCAGTGAGTTTTCAGTTTATCACAGCTGGGGAAGAAAGGATGAACCCTTTCCTCCGAACCCACCCATCTAAATACTGCTACTCACTCACTGAACTAGTCAGTACCATTCCCTAGGAAAAAGACAACACCATCCATCTACCAGCAACATACAATGCCAGCCTCTCATCACTAATTGTTCAATGACAATGCCACACAAGTGGTTTATGAAAGTCAGCAAAGAAGGTTTGCCATATCGTTAGCAACAAATCTTGGAACAGTTGATCTAAGGAACTGAAAAGGTGAGACCAGAAGCTTGGAGAGACTGAAATAATAAGCAGATCTTAAAGGGCAGCCCAAATGCAACTGGTGTGTGTGTTCCTGCCAAAAGGGGATGGAGAGCAGAACCATGTTTTGTGGGTGTGATCCAATACTCCTGACACCACTCTCACCACCACATAACTTATTCTGCAATCAATGCCAACTCAAATTCATAAAACTATTCACTAGGTTGCCTTCACAATTTCAATGGCATCCATCTGTTCAATGTTTCTAAACATCACAGGTTGTAATTTTATTGAAAGGGCACATTTTAAAAAGATCACTTGATCATGCAACAAACTGAGGTAGAAACTTCTTGCAGAACAATTCTCCGTATATAATGGGCTGTATGAATAAAACTTCAATCTTTTAAATAAAAAAAAGAGGGGGGAGTGTCAGAATGCAAAATAAGGATCCCACTAATTTAAGTGATTAGTCTTTCCAGTGTTTTCATTGTCAGCTCTGTGTGTTAACACCTCAGGGGTTTTCCAGGAGACTGAGAATAGGTATTTCAGTACCTGCCATGTACTTCTAAAAACCACCAGATAATCTTATTCACAAAAAGCATGTGAAAGACTGGCAATAAATAGTGACAAGGGATTGGTAGCACCCTGCAGAGAACTAAGGCCTATAATATTGTTACATGCATAGTATGCTGTGCAGTTCATGTCTACTCAGAAGTAAGTCCCATTCCCAAGTAAGTGTGCACAGGACTGCAGTGTAAATCTTATTTGTGGAATAGGGGTAGTATCTTAACAGAAGATGAATTTTGTATGAATCAGAATATACCATTTGCTTTATTCAAAGCATTCTTACAACTTACAAAGTTCTTGTGTAATATGGAGAATTATCATGTTCTTCCACAATATTGCATCTTTACAATAAATGGGTTCAATTCTACAGCCCTCTGAAGGATTAGCTACAAAAATGAATGGAAGATAGGCAGGCAATTCTGTATGAAACTTGTACTGGACAACTATTTGTCATATTCTGAAATTATTACAAAGTGGGGAAGAAAGAAGAGGGCATGCTGAGAGGAGGACACAGGAGCCTGAGGCTTGTTTACATCTGAACAAGGCCATTACACAGTTTGTCAGTTCACTATATATATAATTGACCACGTTAATACACAACTATTACCCTGTAGAATAGTTAATACACAACTATTCCCTTACTGGAAATGAATTCGTAAGACTTGGGTTTTGTAGCTTTTCTTCATTTTCAAGGACAGTGAAGCCATCTGGTCGACAGCTGCTTGGCTTTGAAAAGTTGTCATGTACATTACACTATCCTCAAAAATCATCAGGAGACAGTTATTTTCACACTTTGGGTCCTCTCAGATATTACAACACCACCCGTAAAGTATTAGTCAGGCAAACAACAGAGAAAGCAGTCAGCCTCATCCTACATATAAGGAATTTTAGCCAGAAGATAAAGGGCACCATGTGGGGTTCTGTTCTCATATAACAGGACCTTGGAGAGTGTGTGTCTCCCCCCTGCCCACTGTGGTCTACCAAAAAAGCTATTTCAGAGACCATTACCTGTATTAGAACAATTACACACACACACACGGTATTCACTAGTACAGAGTATTATCAATGCGTTGCTGTTCATGGCAGCCATTTTGTGCTGGCACCCACAGAACTTTTTTTTCAAATATGATGATGATGATGATGATGATGATGATGATGAAGCAGAAGAGGAGGAGGAGGAGTTGGAGTTTGTATTTGATATCCCCCTTTATCACTACCCTAAGGAGTCTCAAAGTGGCTAACATTCTCCTTTCCCTTCCTCCCTCACAACGAACACTCTATGTGGTGAGTGAGGCTGAGAGACTTCAGAGAGAAGTGTGACTAGCCCAAGGTCACCCAGCAGCTGCATGTGGAGGAGCGGGGAAGCGAACCCGGTTCACCAGATTACGAATCCACTGCTCTTAACCACTACACCACACTGTCTCTCCAGTGAGTGCTGGCACCCCCCTTTTTACCAAAAAGAGCAGTCTCTGTGTGTGTGTGTGTGTGTGTGTGTACACACACACACACACACACACACACACACTTAAATCACCAACTGTACATATGCTAACCACAAAAGAGCTGAAATACAGTGGAGCTGCATCATACTTGCATTTAACTCATACAAATTCAACCATGCATGCTTGGCAAAAAGAAGAAAAAAAAGTGCTCCACAGCAGGTCATGTGCAGCTGCCACCCCTGGAAAAAGCAGCAAGGAACCCTGTTGTTGTTTTTTGTTCCTCCTTCCCTCCCTTAGGATCCCATCCACCAGTTTAAGGAACTGTTCCAGCCTTTTTCTCCTGCCTCCCTTTTCTTATTCTCTTTCTCTCCCTCTCTGCCTCCTCCTCTGCTTTTCATCCCTGCCCTCCAGGCTCACATATGGAGGAGTGGGCAGCAATGCCCCTCTGACTGGACTACCAATGCATACAGCTCCAGCTCAGAAACAAGCTGTGCCTCACAGCCTGATAGGGGAGGGAAAGTGTGTCAAAAGATTTTGATTGTAATTTTGATTATAAGCAATTTTTTAGCCTGACATGCTGACTCCAGAACCTAACCCTTGCATAAGACGTGATTCCACTATAATGAAATTAATTTCTTGATGGAAATTATAATTACTTTTAATGATGATAGGTTAGTGTGAACAATTTACTGAACAGTTTCTGCTTGGCTCTTATACTGGAGTACCAGCTGGCCTGCAGTTTTTTGTATGCATTTTAAATGATTTTTCTAAAAAGAAAGCAAGAAAGAAGGCAATTAATAGTACAAATCAAAATTTTAAAAGTAGTTGCGAAAGTAAGTTGCCAGCTACAAGTAATAATCTCAGGATCATGGAATATTTGAAAGTGTTCAAGCAGATGGTCAATCGACAATAGTTGACTGGTCAACTGACTGGCATGCTGACCCAGAAGAAACCCTCCACAGTGGAAGAAAGTGAGAGTTGCTGTAATGGAAAGGAAAATGGATACATATACTCGTATGTACAAAAAAGCACTTAAGCTCACATATGGGCTTATCTGGATCAGAGCACTCCATTTCAACCATTTTACTTGTGCAAATCACATTCGTGTAAAATAAATGACTTTCCCCCATGCAATCCACCATGATGACGTCATGCTTTTAGAAGCAATAATTTTAAAATAGCTAAAGTTAACTTTAGCTGATATACACATTAGAGGAGGGTTCATTAGCTACAAAACCACCACCACCTCTCCTCATTTCAAATGGACACAAGAGCTTATATACAATGCAATTTTATCTTTACCGATGCTGCCTTTTATGATTTCACTTAAGGGCTAATTGGCAATACACAATGTATAATCTAGTTGCACATCTAAAATGGCTTTCATCATGATCAAACATTTACCACAAATTGTGAACTCATGGGTGAGGTCCTCCTGAAACAAAAGCAGTAATAGGCTAAGAGTATGCAACACCTTTTCTTTAATTAGAACAAAATGTCATATTTTAATGCTTTGAAAGAAAATCACACCATCAAGTGCCACACAGGTCATCAGCCAAACCACAAGGAAATTAGTATTATGGTTATCCATTCCACATAAAGCTTTATAGTATGGCAATAAATGAAGTCTTAAAAGTCATCAGGAATTCTGAAAGTTTGCTAGTGTCAACACAGCTGCCTTCTCTGTTTGAGTGCATCCACTGAGAAAAACTGGAAATAAAGAGTGTGTGTGCGTGAACCACTTTCTATTATTTAGAAACCCATGGCAATTGGGGAATAGGAGACTACATTTCACAGTAAGAAGGAAAAAATTAAGGATTCTTTTAATTTCCAAAACTGTTTTCTGAGAAAATTAAAAATAGGCATACCAGAGCAGTGAGCAAACACCCTGCTGCTAATCAGCTGCTAGAATGGAGACAGTGATGACAGAAGCTATTTTGGCACCCGATATCAAGTTTGACTGACATGCCTCCAAGCAGCAGTCAGTCTCTTCCAGCTGTTCCTGAATCTGCAAGTGCTGGACGAAAGACTACTCACAGCTATTGCTACGCTACCCATGACAAGACTGGAATCAATTAACAGGCTAGAACACAGCCCACTGGGTTTCTTACCTGTAAGTTATCCCACAGTGGCTTAACTTTTTTAAAAGTTCTCTGATGATATTTATGAGTAATGCCCCCCACTCAGGGTAGGAAGGCAGATTTAAAGAAATTAAAAGACTGCCCACACTGTGCTCGACTCCTCCCTGTAAGTCCCCAAGCTGAAAAGTTGAGGAGAACTCTGGAAATAGATCTATAAGAATCTCAGAACAACTAAGAAATAAATGGCTAAGTAAAGAAAAAACTGTTAGTTCTCTCTGACATTCCAGGCTATTCAGGGTCAAATGATAAGAGATTGATGGAGATCCATGATCAGATTTCCTGTGTCTTTAATTTTTATCACATAGAGATCATGGTGAACCCTGATATGAATCTCTGGGCAAGATTCAAATCCCAGCACAAAGGGCTTCTGATAGTGAAGCAGGGCTTTTCAAGCCCCACTCCCCCCACCAGTACCTCCCAAAATTGGTTGGTAAAGTCAGGAGACTTCCATCTAAAAAAACCAAAGAGAAGTACAAAAATACTATATTAACAACAACAACAAAAACCCAATAAAATCAGGTGCAAGGGTAGAGTTGCATTTTGACATATCAACAAGTGTTGGTGCAATCTGCATCGCATCCCACAAGACAACACCTCTTTACTGATGAACCTCTTTGCATTCTCCAAAAGGAGGTTCTGGCATTTGAAACAGAAGCATAGAATTTCCAAGCTACATGAATTCACAGGTAGGAGCCCCAGCCTGCCGTTCTTTCAAATATGATACAATACGATAATCTTTATTGTCATTGTCCCATACAGAGCAACGAAATTGAAAAATCTACATCAGACATTCAAAAACCAACAAGCCTGCTATCCCAACTATCCCAGCCTGGTTAGCCCCTAAAAACTCTAATACCCCATAATTAAATACCGTATACTCACATAGAGACTACCTTACGCTGTGTTTAAAACCAAAATCGCATTTGGATAGAAACTGTTTCCCTGGCGGCTAGTCCTAGTCTTTATAACCCTGTACCTTCTTCCAGAAGACAGAAGCTGAAAGAGATCATTTCCGGGGTGCGCACTATCCAAATAGCTGGCTGGGACCCCTCTCTTCTAGAAGGAAGGACAAGGGAAGCATTCTACTCTGCATTTTCATAGGGGAACTCATCCACTCCCAGTATCTTTTACATGTAGTCAATTCCACTGGGAGTGAAGGTAAGAGGGCAATCTTTTTGCTTTTAATTGTTCGAACCAGAAGACAACAGATTGTAAGGATGGTTTTCCAGAAGCCCTGAGCTTTTGAAAGGTGAAATATAAAATTTATTAAATAAGAGCAATGGATTTAAACCAGTGGATCAACTAGCAAGTTAAGACCCAGTCTGACACAGCAGGTTGAGGTGTGCACTCGCCAATAATTCCTGTCCTTTGCACTTGTGGACTGCAAATACACAACATGACATTTGGACCTAAATGTCAGCTCTGCTTTACACGCTAAATTCTCAATACTGCTAGCCTACAATTACAGGACTATATTCTTGAGTTCTTTGCAGTCTAACAAGCGTTGCCTGTTCTCTGCAGTATGCTTTTCAACAGCAGAATAAGGATGAGAGAAAAGTGGATCCCACAAGCTAAAGGAGTGCAATAATCAACTGAACAAACTTCCAAAGCTCCTTCATAGCTCAATATATAGTTATCTCTAAGGACTGTTAAAATTGGCTTTGACTTGGAAAAACAGCCTTCTTTTTCTATCTTCTTTTTAAAAAGTTATTATTGCATCTGTGTTATCCAATTATATCACAGCTAAATTTGAATTATTAGTATTGGCCAACTACGAGGCAGCATATGTGCTGTGACCCTACCTTTGCAAAGAAAATGTCTGAAACGGTAGTTAAGCCAAGTTTTGAGCAAAGCTTAAAATTTAAAGTTGCAAATTAAAGCTAATTTGTGGATAGTTAACAAATCTACCTCATTTTTTAAACATACAGCCATTTTAATTACCCTTAGATTTCTATTTGGCTACTAAAGGAAGCAGGACATAGCTATTCAAAGATGTGAATTTAGAAGACCTCTGTGAGAGCTCCTCTCCAGAGAACTTGAAGTCCGGAGTAAAAGGTCCTCAAAAGACAGAGCAAGGTGACCCAATAGCAGAAGAGAGGACAAGATGATCTCATGCCAATGATCTACCTCCAGGGATGAGTAGGGTGGATTAGCGGGGACCATCTTTGCTGTGAGTCCAGGAATACCAGTTCCCTGCTCTGAAACCCCTTTTCTACTTGGACCTGACTGACTCCAACTACAAAAGTTGAAGCTCTTGAACAGACTATTGGGCTGAGGTATTGTTAGGAGTGTGTTGTTGTTGGGGGGTGGGTGTTGTTGCTGTTTTATTTATTTATTTATTTATTTAAGAACTTATAATTTATGTAGAAATTGTTCAATATGTACTTCTTGGTGTTTTATTATTTTACTACTTTTGTTATGTCTGTCATTATGTAATTTTTTACATGTTGTAAGCTGCCTTGAACATGGTTTTAACTTTGGAAAGGCGGTATGCAAATAAAACGATTGAATGATTCTCATAATAGGAAACCTGATTTGACAGAAGGATGAACGGCAGAATGCACTGCTAACTTAGTAAAAACGCTAATGACATTGTAAGATGTCTAGATTATATCAGAAAACAGGCTGCCTTGCTACCCTATTGGACAATGTGGAATGAATGAGGCCAGTCACTCTTGGTACATGCAGAAACCTTTTGGTACATGTTGTAAAATAGAGTTACAACTGTAACAAAGTACTGCTTCACATAAATCAAAATATACCAGTGGAGTTTATTTCCTCTAAAATTTGGAAAATCATATATGGCTTTGAAAAGAATTAGACAAATTTATTGGGAGAACAGCATAGCAGGACAAAGTTAAGGATAGCCTCCATCACACCCTGCTTATGAGCTTTCCAGAGACAACCAATGGACCACTAATGGTGGCAGAATGGAACTTTGATCTCATACAGCAAGTGAATCCCTAGGCCCAGGGAAGCTCAGTGGATATTTGGAAGCAAATTAAATCTGCATAAAACATGTGCCAAATAAATAAATCCCTGAATGCCAACACCAGAAACCCACATACATCCCCTCCAAACACAAGAATGGCAAAGTGAATTCATCTTCCTATAATTCCCTGTCAAACACTAGAAAGATCACTGAAATTACAAGGACAGTTCAACATTGCCAGTTACAGCATATAATTGCTGTAGACATCCATACCTTTGCCTTATGTAGTCAAACCTATGAATATCAAATGACAAAGCATACTGTTGATCTACTTGTTTGATTAAAATTCATGATACTAGATTATTTTTAGCAATCACAACATCTAATCAGTTAATCAAACTACAAAGAGAAACTGAAAGGACAGCTAGATGTCAAAATCATTTTTCTTACCTGACAAACAGATATAAGTTAAATATTCGCCCTGACCCCCCGTTGCCAAAAAAGGAATCTTTTTCTTCGTTCTCCTTTTTACTTGGACTGCTCCCAACATTCTTTCATCATGCGGAGCGAAAATCTCTTTGCTGATAGCGGATTTGGCACTCATTGTAGATCAGAGATGGAGGAGACGGGTTGCGTTCCTAGAATAAAATTCATATGGTACATTTTAATTTCACTTATACAGCATACTGATTCCCATTACCCTTCACTTATATAGTATACTGATTTCCATTACTCTTCAATAGGAAGTACATGCAAAAACATATGCAAGATAAAAAACAAGGATTAAACCCGAACAGTATAACAAGATCCTTGCTACTATCATCATGGCAACTGCCATCAACTTTATGCCCTCTCAGAATCCATTATCTGTCATGCTGAGAGGATGAGACAACAGAAACTCTTTCCATAGACCAAGTATTATTTTTTCCACCAAACTACCATACCCTCCCAGAGCAGAAAAAACTGCAACTTGCAGGAAGCAGGTGTTTGCAGGGAGGGGGGAGCATAACATATAAGCTCCAAATAAGCTCCAGGCTTATTTATGCATATAAGGCTCCAGGTTCCTTCATCTATATCTCAGGTCTTCCTAAAACCTTTGAGTGATTCTGCTATTCAGGCTCACCAGCAATGTGGCAAATGCATGTACTATGGATCTCACTCCAAGCATAAGGATCAGTTATTGACACTTCACTTTTATGTAAACCAACTTAACTCAGATCTTTCCATTTAAAGACTCCTATAAAGACTCCTGTTTGCAGTCAGAGTAAAGAATCAGGTTGCACCTTAAAAATATTAACTAATTTGTTCGTGAGTGGTTTTTTTAATTGCCTCAAGACTCTTTGTTTTTGCAGCAACCAACAAACTATTCTTTCCTAAATAACAGACAAATGAGTTACTTCAACATACAACAGGGTTGATTGGAAGCAAAAAAAATATATATAAATCATTGCTTCCTGGTTACTTCCCACTGCAAATCCCCCCACCCCAACTTCACCGCTTGCCTACAAGGGCTTTGCTGTAACTCCTCCTGCCCTGCAGTATTATGTGATTACATCATACACTGGTAACATCAACAGACATAGCCCTTCCCATTTACAGTAGCAAGCACATCTGCATGAACACTGGTTATTGTTCACTGACAAAGGTTCTTCTGTGCAAGATGGAAAGCTGCACTTCCAGCAGCCTTCTAAAAGATCGGTATTGTACTACTTTCAGCTATACTGATCTTTGAATGATTTGTCATCTTTTGGTGTATTTCCAGGCAGACGTGCCTTTCTTCATGTGATGCCAAATGCTCTGAATACAAGACAACTTTAGCACGTGAACATCCAACTATCCTAAGCTCTTTGAAGTATTGTATAGCCATTTAAGTTTAAGACATGATCTCAAGCATCTGATTTAGCATGTCTGATATATTTAGTAAGCAAAACTAAAAACAAACGAACACCATGTTAATTTTACATGCTGTAAAAGACAGCAAACTGATATACAACTACCTGGGAGTGAGTCCCATTGAACTCAATGAATCTTACTTCTGGATATACATGCACAGGATTATACCCTGTAAAGGCTCAAAGGTTTCAACTACTGTACTCAAAAGGTTCATGTAGCGAAATACTTGACTTGGGATGCATGTGTGCAAGTTACAGCATACACTTAACGTCATTTAAAGTTTACATTTGAAACCAGAGTCAAAAGCTTTACTTGGAAATTATTGTTTTTAAAATTAGTTTGATAGGAATACAAAACTCTAAATCAAAATGAAACTACTGCAAAATTAATACAGGAAATTTGTTCTCAAAAATCTTACACATGTTATCAATTGTCTGGCTATGAGGTTTCATGCATCTTAAATATCCAAACCATGAAAACATTTCTCTTGCCTCACTCAAATTCTCAGATCTCTAACTGAAACAAGAGTTCTAATCTATGACCACCCTGAGCAGAAATCTGCCCTCAGTAGGAATATCCAAACTAGGCCACAGACGAATGCAGCCGTAAAAATATAGGTAAGGAAAACAGCACTCCTTCAGTCTAAGCCTCCAGAATTGCATGTTACTGCTTCAGACACTTGTGCTTCTGCACCTACTTTCCATCTCTAATTTCTTTGAATTATAGTTAACGACATTTACATATTCCACTTGATTTCAGTAAAACCTCCAAGTGGTTTATGAAACAAAATCTGCTTCAATTTCCTGGTTAGAGAGTTGATGGCTTTCTCAGGCGTTACATGGAAATCCATGGATCCACCAACATTTACATCACATGAGTTATGCACATGTAGCTTCAAACGCCTACAATGTTCATGCTACCGCCTAGGATTCTGAGAATCTTTTCTGACACAACAGTATATCACATAGTCTTCCTATATGACATATACAAGATCACACTCTAGACCAGTCTTCCCCAACATGGTCCCTCCAGATGCTGCTGGACTACAGTTCCCATCATCCATGACCACTGGCCATGCAGGCTGGGGCTGATGGGCATTTTACTTTTCTGCAGTTAACCTCATCATTTGTACTTTTTTATTATCTGAAGCAGTGCTTTGAAAGTGATTTGAGTTGTGTTCCATTGATTAATATGCACCATTAAAATAATTGTTGACCAAGTATCAAATTATATACATGCAAAAAAGAAAACTAATTTTCCTTTTTAATAATGTTATTGTTTTTTGGGCCTTCAGTAACTCCTTTGCTTCTGTTCAGTCACTGCTTGGTCGACTTCAGACCTGCCTCAGGCTGTGAAGGTTTATTTGGCATCAGGTGTTGTTCCTTTGTTCCTGTATCAACACCCCTTTCCAAACAATTTAATGGATTACCTTCAAAGTCTTGGCAGTTAGACAAATTCACTCCCAACTATATAGTATGTATGTTTGTTTGTTTTCTCTGAAAGGGTTTCATTGTGTCCAGATAAAGACTGCAGAGGAGGAGGAGGAGGGAGAAGTAAATATACCAGTCTTGATCTTATTCATGAAATGCTAGTACCTTTCATTTTGAAAAAAATCAGGATGAAAATGAAAATCTCATCTTACAGATGAGCATTAACTATCCTAGGCTGCATCAACAGAAGTATAGTGTCCAGATCATGGGAAGTAAGAGCGGGGCTTTTTTTTCATCTGGAACTCGCCAGAATTCAGTTCTGGCACCTCTCAGGGGGATGCCATTGCCATTTTAAGAGAACAAGGGAGGCATTCATGGTGAGTTGTGGCACCTTTTTTTCTAGAAAAATAGCACTGAGTAAGAATGCCACTCTATTCTGATTTGATCAGACCACACCAGTTTGGGTGCCACAATTTAAGAAGGATATTGACAAGCTGGAACGTGTGGAAAGGAGAGCAACCACGATGATCACGGGTCTGGAAACCAAGCCTTATGAGGAATGGTTGAGGGAGTTGGGTATGTTTAGCCTGGATATGAGAAGACTGAGAGGAGATATGATAGCCATCTTCAAATATCTCAAGGGTTATCACATGGAAGAGGATACAAGCTTGTTTTCTCTTGCTCTGGAGGGCAGGACTCAAACCAATGTCTTCAAGTTACAAGAAAGGAGATTCCACCTAAACATCAAGAACTTTTTCACAGTAAGAGTCGTTCAGCAGTGGAACAGACTCCCACGAGAGGTGGTGGACTCTCCAACTATTTTGAAAAGTCAAGAGGCAGTATATTTAAGATTAGCCCCAAATTAAATGTCCCATACTGTTTGCTTAATATTTACATTCAAAAGTCTAAAACATTAAAAAGTATGTTTTTTACAAAAGTCATATATGCAAGATTTCACTGTTGCAAACAATGAAAACGTTTAGCTGCTTTGCAACACATTTCCTTTGGCCTTCAGGCTCAAGGAACAGTTTGTTTTCAAGTGGGTTAAGTAGTGAATGTTTCTAGGCAACATCTTGGGAAGCAAACTATCAGATACACTTTCCCCACCCTGCTTGAATAATCAAGGCACGTTTTAAGCTCATAGGTTAAAAAAAAAAAAATGCCTTCCATGTAGGAGATCTGAAAATACTAGATCAGAAAGGATTGTAATAATTTATTGATCTGGTCTATCCATAATAGATAAACTTTGATGTCACCTGAATGTGAAGGTTTTGAACATTATTCTCCAGCATTTCAATGTGTTATAGCTATAAAGGAATGGTATACTTTGATGAATTCCAATCTGGGATACCCAATCGAATTACTCAATTTTCTTTTTCTGAAATAGAGGAGTCATAGAGTGCCAGTATTATGGCATTCGGAAATTTAAACATTCACTGAGTTAGAACAAAAATGATCTTACAAGAATACTGTTCTTTCTATACATACAGCCACTAAAGAAAATGTGAGAGTAAATTTAGAAATTAACTCCCTAGATCACACAATTAGGAAAAGAAAGTGATCTATTATTTCTTTGCCATGCCTTAGAGAACCACACACAGAATGTTTGGACAAAGAAGATTTCAATCCATGGCATAGCTGTCTGCAATACTGTCATGATCCTCTGTGTTTTGCATCAACTGACATTACATACTAACCATTTATCTTAAATGGTACTTCCTGTCTTGAACAGGCTGTCCTGAATGTGTCCTGAGAACTTTAATAATGTTGTTAGAATTTAGGAGTCTAAGGGAATCAATGGCTGAAATCTTTACATATTACAGATAGATAAAAAAACATTAATATGGCTGGCATACTGCAGAACTATGATTTCAGTTATCCTTTCAGCACATTTAATACTATGAGATCACATGCTAATTGCCAGTCAAATACATGAAAAAGTTACGCCGAAAAAAAGTCTAATGTTTCAGTCTCATATACGCACTTAACTCGGAGAAAGTTCTATTGAACCCAGTGGGACTTGTTTCTGGCTAAATATGAATAGGACTGCACTGTAATACATTTGACATTATCATTATTTATAATAAACAATTGCAGGAAGTTGAAAGCAATTTTTGATTAGATACATAATGCCCTGTCTTACAAAAAAAATAAAATACAGTGTGGAAGGCTGTTATCATCCTTGCAGCATTATTCAAGAAATGCAGTTAAAGTCTGGACAAAACCACTTAAAGCTCTCAAACTGAAACATGAAATGCAAGAAACGTTATGTTGTCCATTGTGCGAGGTTAACCACTATAAGCTTGCAAAGAGTTTCATAAGCAGCCACATCAACAGTTTGCAGACATGGGGTTGCATCCAACTAAATTTTACTCTGAAGAAACTCACTGAAATTAATGGACACGACTAACTTAGGTCCTTCCTTTCAATGCATCTACTCTTGAGTAAAACCTTTTTTGGAGCAGAAGCCATAGTTCTCAATGTTGTGAGTGAACATGTGCAATACAGGGGAACTGCATCTTGCATGAGGGTTAGATTCCCAGGGTTACACATATACATGAAAACTGCATACAGTGGTACCTCGGGTTAAGAACTTAATTCGTTCTGGAGGTCCGTTCTTAACCTGAAACTGTTCTTAACCTGAAGCACCACTTTAGCTAATGGGGCCTCCCGCTGCTGCCACAATGCGATTTCTGTTCTCATCCTGAAGCAAAATTCTTAACCCGAGGTACTATTTTTGGGTTATTTGTGTCTGTAACCTGAAGCGTCTGTAACCTGAAGCGTCTGTAACCCGAGGTACCACTGTATAGCCCAAATAACCCTTGGAGATGCCCATACAGTTAGCCAGCCTGCTTGCCTTCTATAAGGCAGTAAGTGAGGAGAAAAGTCCCACGCAGCACGCCTGAACCTTTGGCCAGCAGTGCAGTGGCTCTGAGAGTTGTGTGAATGCTCTCACAAGAGCACTCATTTTGTGCTGGGTCTTGGCTGTTTTCCCCAGACAAAGCCACTTTGGTGCACCCTGAGAGCAGGGTGCCTTTAGCTCTCAAGAGATCCCATGGGAAATCCCCACCACTTCCAGAGCCACGGAGCTGCAGGCCAAAGGTGTCCTGCTCAAAGGGTATGCCAAGCAGGCCTTGCCCAGGACTTCTGATCCTTTCCCTCCCCAGACTGCCTTCAACCACGTATGGCTGAAATCACAGAGTTGGAAGGAATCCTGAGGATCTTCTAGTCCGACCCCCTGCAAAACAGGAATATGCAGCTGTCCCTTAATGGGAATTGACGCTGCAACCTTGGTGTTATCAGCACCACACTCTAACCAACTGAGCTATCCCATTTCAAGTCAAATGCACGTTACGATGCAGATTTGCTGTACATTAAAATGTACTAAACCTCTGCTTCCTTATTTCTTTTATAAATACAGAGTAACAAGAACAGACCTAAAAAAAGAAAGAACAAAATACACCACTACAATAAAATCAGCTTTAGCACAATAAGGCACACTTTAAAAAACCAAAAAGAAATCCTACTTTTACAGGCGACTGGCCTATATTACAGCCCATAAAATCACTTCCATGCCACGCACCATGCCAATTTTAGTTTAAGTATCAGAAGCCACTCACGAACTTGGTCCTTGGCTGTAGGATGTAACACCTGCCCTTTAACACTCAAACCAAATGGAGTGCAATTCATAGCATCAAATAATAATAATAATAATAATAATAATAATAATAATAATAATTTATTATTTATACCCCGCCCATCTGGCTGGGCTTCCCCGGCCACTCTGGGCGGCTTCCAAAGAATATTAAAATACTATAATACATCAAACATTAAAAGCTTCCCGAAACAGGGCTGCCTTCAGATGTCTTCTAAAAGCCTGGTAGTTGTTGTTCTCTTTGACATCTGGTGGGAGGGTGTTCCACAGGGAAGGCGCCACTACCGAGAAGGCCCTCTGCCTGGTTCCCTGTAACTTGGCTTCTCGCAGTGAGGGACCGCCAGAAGGCCCTCAGTGCTGGACCTCAGTGTCCGGGTAGAACGATGGGGGAGGAGACGCTCCTTCAGATATACTGGACCAAGGCCGTTTAGGGCTTTAAAGGTCAGCACCAACACTTTGAATTGTGCTCGGAAACGTACTGGGAGCCAATGTAGGTCTTTCAAGACCGGTGTTATGTGGTCTCTGCGGCCGCTCCCAGTCACCAGTCTAGCTGCCGCGTTCTGGATTAGTTGTAGTTTCCGGGTCACCTTCAAAGGTAGCCCCACGTAGAGCGCATTGCAGTAATCCAAGCGGGAGATAACCAGAGCATGCACCACTCTGGCGAGGCAGTCCGCAGGCAGATAGGGTCTCAGCCTGCGTACCAGATGGAGCTGGTAAACAGCTGCCCTGGACACAGATTTGACCTGTGCCTCCATGGACAGCTGTGAGTCCAAAATGACTCCCAGGCTGCGCACCTGGTCCTTCAGGGGCACAGTTACCCCATTCAGGACCAGGGAATCCTCCACACCTGCCCGCCTCCTGTCCCCCAAAAACAGTACTTCTGTCTTGTCAGGATTCAACCTCAATCTGTTAGCCGCCATCCAACCTCCAACCGCCTCCAGGCACTCACACAGGGCCTTCACTGCCTTCACTGGTTCTGATTTGAAAGAGAGGTAGAGCTGGGTATCATCTGCATACTGATGAACACCCAGCCCAAATCCCCTGATGATCTCTCCCAGCGGCTTCATGTAGATGTTGAAAAGCATGGGGAGAGGACAGAACCCTGAGGCACCCCACAGAGTGAGGGCCCAGGGGTCTGAACACTCATCCCCACCACCACTTTCTGAACACGGCCCAGGAGGAAGGAGCGGAACCACTGTATAACAGTGCCCCCAGCTCCCAGCCCCTCAAGACGGTCCAGAAGGATGTTATGGTCGATGGTATCAAACGCCGCTGAGAGATCCAGCAGAACTAGGAAACAGCTCTCACCTTTGTCCCTAGCCCGCCGGAGATCATCAACCAGTGCGACCAAGGCAGTTTCAGTCCCATGATGAGGCCTGAATCCCGACTGGAAGGGATCCAAATGGTCCGCTTCTTCCAGGCGTGCCTGGAGTTGTTCAGCAACCACTCGCTCAATCACCTTGCCCAAGAATGGAAGATTTGAGACTGGGCGATAGTTGGCTATCGTGGCCGCATCTAAAGATGGTTTTTAAGAAGCGGTTTAATAACCGCCTCTTTCAGCGGGTCTGGGAAGGCTCCCTCACGGAGGAAGCATTCACCACCCCACGAAGCCCATCGCCCAGTCCTTCCCGGCTAGCTTTTATAAGCCAGGATGGGCAAGGATCAAGGAGGCAAGTGGTTGGTTTCACTCGTGCAAGCAGCCTGTCCACATCCTCGGGGGTAACAGATTGGAATTGATCCCACACAACTTGACTAGACAGGACTCTAGCACTCTCCCGCCCCAGCCCTGCTCCCACGGTGGAGTCTACCTCTTCTCGAATCTGAGCGACTTTATCTGCAAAAAAACTTTGCAAAGTCATTGCAGGAGATCATGTGGCCGCTACTGGGCCCTGATGGAGCAGGTGGTTCCGCTAAATTGCGAACCACCTGAAAGAGTCTCCTGCTGCTGTTTTCCGCAGATGCAATAGAGGCGGTGAAGAAAGTCTTCTTCGCCGTCGCTATCGCCACTTGGTAGGCTCGACATTGAGCTCTAACCCGTGTCCGGTCAGATTCAGAATGGGTTATCCGCCACCGGCGCTCTAGCCGTCTCAGCGATTGTTTCATTGCCCTCAGATCCGTGGAAAACCACGGGGCTGTCCGGACTCCATGCAATCGGAGAGGGCGCTTTGGAGCCAAACAGTCAATAGCCCTGGTTAACTCCACATTCCAGCGGGCCACCAGGGAATCAGCTGAAAGGCCATCAACATGGGATAAAACATCCCCTACCACTCTCTGGAAACCATTTGGATCCATTAAGTGGCGGGGGCGGACCATCTGAATCGGTCCCGCCTCCCTGCAGAGGAAGGGTCACGGAGAAGTCCAGTTGCACCAGGAAGTGATCTGACCATGGCACTTCTTTGGTTTCGCTTTTACTTAATGTCAGATCACCAACATCCATAGAGGTGAACACCAGGTCTAAGGCATGCCCGTGGCTATGAGTTGGGCCAGACTTATTCAGGGACAGCCCCATGGAGGCCATGCTTTCCACGAAGTCCCGAGCGGCCCCTTGTAAGGTCGTGTCGGCATGGATGTTAAAATCCCCTAGGACAACCAAACTAGGTGTCTCCAGGAGAACATCTGCCACGACCTGAAGCAGCTCGGGCAGGGAATCCTTGGTGCAGCGGGGAGGTCGGTACACCAATAGGAATCCTGTACTGCCCCTATTGCCCAACTTCCAGAACATGCACTCAGAGAACTGGGTCTTTCCAATAGGACGCCTGGTGCAAACTAATGACTTCCTAAAAATCACTGCAACCCCCCCTCCCCGCCCACAAGGCCTGGGTTGCTGTGCGTAAGAGAAACCTGGTGGACAAGCAGCGGCAAGGACGGGCCCATCTGCTTCATCCAACCAGGGGACAATCCAATGTGGGACAGGGAGTGGAAAACTGACAGTGGATAATTTGGCATATTCTTCCCCACTTCAAACAGCAATGCCTGTCTCTCTTCCACAATCACAGCAGAGAATGGTCACTGAAAGCAATCCAGCTTTCAAGCTCCACTGCTCCAGTAATCTCTATATTATGGCTCTCTGAATGAAGTGCTATTTCCTTATAGCTCATAATTTTTTATTCATACCTTGCAAGGGGTATGTTAGGGGTTTGTTGTTGTTGCTACCACTTCTGAAAAGGGTCGATACAATCAATCAAGTAACAAATTCAGAATAGAAACCAGTAAACAAGACTATTGAGGGAATGCAATTTCTTAGGGTTTTTTAAAAAAAGAATTTATTATTCTTTTTAATGCAGTTAAAACCTTGGTGCACAAAAGGCATCCTATGAAAATTCAACACAGAAAAAGGACATGTTAAAATCCCACAAGAAAAACAAAATTCTCAGGCATTCAACTGCAGACAGGTCTCAAATAGGTGCTCCAAGCTATCCATTTTAGTTGGCTTTTCTAGCCATTGGAATATGTCTGTCCATTCCCAACTATAGCACAGCTGGGGAACCCATGGCCCACAACCTCATTTTGTGTGCCCCCCCCCCAGGACACCTGAAGCTGCTTGTTTCTTCTATCCGACCTGACTTCCTTCCTCATTTCACACAAGAAAATACCACAATAAAGTGGCAACCCTACTTGTCTGAGTTTCTCAATGCATCATTGTGAAGCTGAGGCATTGTTTCCCTTTTTTAAAAGAGTACTTCCTTGCAAATCCAAACCACTAACCAACCAAGGTTGGGAAAGAGGCATTTCTAAATACATCCCTGCCAGCGTACGAAAGTTACCAAAAAAAAGTAGTATATGGGATAGTGGTGGTTACAGGATAAAATGTTATGGATCTACTAGCCAGCACTGCTATGAGTCATCTGTTGCAGTAACATGGACTCCTCAGTTTCCAGTAGGTGATGCCTTGTATTCAGTATGTAATACCACATTTCCGATTGCATTCCTTAAGGATTGTTTAAGAAGGAACAGGATCCCTCTGCCCTAATCATTCAATTCTTTGGCCAAAGTATGTTAATGCATTTTTCTATTCTATTAGAGAGAAATGTGTATTTTTATTTCTATAATGATCAAGTCTGGAAAACTGGCAGAAATAATTATAAAAGACAGAATTAATAATAATAATTTTATTATTTATACCCTGCCCATCTGGCCCTATATACCACATTTTATTATTTATACCCCATCCTATATACCACACATAGAACAATTATTGCTGAAGCAAAACCAGCATAGCTTCCACAAAGGTAAGTCTTGCCTACCTAACATTTTAAGAATTCTTTGAGTGTGTCAATAAGCATAAGATGTGATCCAGTCGCCATTGCGTATACTTAAGACTTTTAAAACGTTTTTTTGACCAGTTACAAAGACCCTTAGCAATTACTGCAGAGTAAACTTAGTGGTGAAGAGATAATAGGACAGGTTTTCTTATGGAACAATAACTGGATAAAGAAAAGGAGACAGGGGTAGGAATAAATGGCAAGTTCCATGCTAGTGATCATTAGGCAAGGAATTGAAAATTATAATACTGTTAATGCAAAGCTATGGTGCAAAGATGCTTGGAATAATAGTGTGTACAGCTGTGATATCCTCGCCTCAAAAAGAGTGTTGTAGAACTGGAATTGATTCAGGAAAGGTCAACCAAATGATCAAGGGACTGGAGAAGCTCCCTTAGGAGACAAGGTTACAACATTAGAG